TGATTATGTGCAGCTCAGTGGAATAGGTGGGGGAAAGCTAACAGGAAAAATCCAAGCTCTGAGTGAGGCACACATTATGAGATGCCAGAGAGCTTCTGCTCCCCTCTGCCACCACCACCACCACCACCTTGTCCTTCCCCCTTCCCCATGGTGGCAGCATGACACAGCAAGGCCCTGTTGAGTAGGCCTTGGATACCCACATAGGGTCTGGACAAAGGATATTTGGGCGTGTCTGTGTGGCTCCAAGAGACTGTATCTTTCTAATCTATATATTTGCTAATCATGTATCTCTAAGAATAGAGTGATTTAGAAATTGCCTTTGCCTGAAATACCTGGATGATTTTCAATGAAGGATAGTGGGAAACATTTATTGAGCGTATGTTGGGTAGAAGGCACTGTCAAACCCTTTACCCGATAGGTGTAAAGACAGTTGAAGTAGGGGTGGAGAACATTTGTGGAGGGGAAGGGGAAGCTAGCCAAAAAGGGACCTTTTCCAAAATTTGGAGCATTTGATAATTAACTCCATACTATATTAAATCAAAAATTTCATTACTATTTACATTAGTGAATAGATTTTAGCTTCAGTTTTCTGTGTGGTCTTACTTTATATGCTTGACTTGATTTTAATGCCACGTAGGCCTGCATGCATGTCCTTCATGAATGTATTTGGTACTCTGTGTACATGTCTCTGGGTCAATGACATAGAGGTTTCAGGCCTTTTAATATTTCATAAAATTTCCTTTAGCTTTTTAAATTGCAAGATAGCTCTACCAAACGCTTAGGGACTATTTGAGCAGCTTTTTATACATACTCTGGTTATAAGAAAAGGAGTTAGCTTGTCAAAGAGCTTTTTTTTTCTCAGATTCCAGCTCGCTCTCTACTGCCTTTTGCTTTTCCTCATTCAGATCACAATGACAGGAAAATAATCACCTAACCCACGGAATAGCTATTCTTCAGTAACTAAGAATTAAGTTTTGAGAATGCTGGTATAGGGTTATATAAAGCTGTTGGCAGCTGTCCATGTGCAGCACAAAAAGGGATCCAATTGGGAATTATGAGACCTGGATTCTATACAAACTGGCTGGAAGTTTTCCCAAGTCATTAATTTCTAAGATGTCTTCTAGTATTAAAATTCTACAGTTTTTCCCCCCATGATTCTATTTTTAAAGAGCCTATAACGTGCCCTGCCTTATACTAAGCTCATTCTGGAGAAGACTTGTCAGGGAGGTAGCTGGGGAAATAACTGGTAACAGTAAGAATTCCTGTAGGTAACAGTACTGACTCCTAGGGTATGCTTCTTAGGCTCTCTATAGTCCCAGATTTAAGGAGGGGGTGGTTGGTTAAAGGATACAATCACATTTTGTAGCTCTCTTTCTGTGCACGTCTCTGCAAAGTACTATGGAGATGATCAGAGTTGAGTATCATAGGATGATGACCTCACCTTTCCAACATGCTCCCCCACCCTGCTCCAATCCCTGCATCACCCTCCTTCTAAGCAGCCTCTCTGCTGAGTAATGCTCAGTTCCCAGGGTTTATTTTGGAACTTAAAGTAAGAAGAAAAAGAACAACTCAGAATTCACTTTTAACATTAAGAACATCCTAGCCTACCCACTCTGCATTCCTCGAGCCCCCACACTCTCACACTTCACTGTGTTCTGCATTAATGCTTTCTTTTTTTCTGCCTCAGTACAGTCATTTCACATTAAATTGGAGCATTTTGGTACCTATTTATGGGTCTCAGGCCTGGTGAGACCCAACAGAGTATGTTGGAGAAAGGCATTTTGAAACTTGAGGTTCTGTTTTTGGGGTTTTTTTTTGTTTTTTGAGATGGAGCCTGGTTCTGTCGCCCAGGCTGGAGTGCAGTGGTGTGGTCTCAGCTCACTACAACCTCCGCCTCCTGGGTTCAAGCAATTCTCCTGCCTCAGCCTCCTGAGTAGCTGGGACTGCAAGCACCTGCCACCACTCCGGGCTAACTTTTTGTATTTTTAGTAAAGATGGGGTTTTACCGTGTTAGCTAGGATGGTCTCGATTTCCTGAACTTGTGATCCACCCGCCTTAGCCTCCTAAAGTGCTGGGATTATAGGCGTGAGCCACCGCACTTGGCTTGGGGTTCTGTTTTTGGAGGTGGTAGAATGTTCTTTCTGCTCTTTTGGGAACATTTCAACTAATGCTTCTTGACCCTTGGCTAGTAAGCAGCAGGCTGGAGGCTGCAGGCAGCTATAAAAGACATATAATATCCGGCAGGGTGTGGGTTGGAGTAGAGAAAGTGACAGATCCATTAACGCATGGAAGAGTATCTGATTCCATCTAGGGACCTTCTTCCAATCTGAACTTTACTTCCTTACCTGGAATTTCCAATCCATTTGCATATCATCAGAATACTTAAGCACTGAGATCAGAGAAAAGAGACCCTGTTACAGCATAGGAACATTCATTTAGCACCTGGCTTTTGTTCTGAAGAAGTAGGCTAGAGAGAAATAGATTATTATTATATATATATTTTTTTGAGACAGAGTCTCACTCTTGTTGCCCAGGCTGGAGTGCAATGGCACAATCTTGGCTCACTGCAACCTTCGCCTCCCGGGTTCAAGTGATTCTTGTGCCTCAGCCTCCTGAGCTGTTGGGATTACAGGCAGATGCCAGCACGCCCAGCTAATTTTTGGTATTTTTAGTAGAGACAGCATTTCACTATGTTGACCAGGCTGATCTCGAACTCCTGACCTCAGGCAATCCACTCACCTTAGCCTCCCAAAGTGCTGGGATTACAGGCATAAGCGACCTTGCCTGACCAAGAGAAATAGATTATTAAGGCTTACCTGTGGGCTAATGTATGGGAATGGCAAAGTATTCATAGTGAGATAAAGTTAATCAGCAGCCTTGAATGTCTTTGTGTACAAAGCCCAACACCTGTGTACAGAGAAAGTAGATTGATTTTTTACCTTTGTGGAAACTTCTAGTCTGTTGAAGGCAAAAAGGCCATCCCTGTACATAAAATACATTAACAGTGATCTGTAATCACAAACTGATGGAGGTAGGTAAAACTCCTCCTACCTCCATGTTGAGGGAGATGGAGGAAATACAGTAGATGAAGCTGAGTAAGTTTAAGGAAGTTACCCTGGAAAAGGTGAGTTTATAGTAGGGTTTAGAAGGCAAGAAGGAAAATAGAAAGCAGAAAAGTCATGGAAGGCCTTTTCACACATACCATGACCTATTAAACCAAAGTCAGGAGAAAGTCAAATATTTGTAAGTATAATAGGAGTTTGGGGCTGGGCGTGGTAGCTAACGCCTGTAATCCCAGCACTTTGGGAGGCCGAGGCAGGCAGATCACCTGAGGTTGGGAGTTTGAGACCAGCCTGACCAATATGGAGAAACCTCCATCTCTACTAAAAATACAAAATTAGCCGGGCGTGGTGGTGCATGCCTGTAATCCCAGCTACTTGGGAGGCTAAGGCAGGAGAATTGCTTGAACCCAGGAGGTGGAGGTTGTGGTGAGCCAAGACTGCACCATTGCACTCCAGCCTGGGCAACAAGAGCGAAACTCCGTTTCAAAAAAAAAAAAAGGAGTTTGGGCTAGGGGAACAGGGATCCTCTATAGAATTGAATAGAGTTTGTTTGTTTTTTTTTAAAGACAGGGTCTCACTCTGTTGCCCAGGGTGGAATGCAGTGGCACAATCTCAGCCCACTGGAACCTCTGCTTCCTAGGCTCAAGTGATTCTCCCACTTAGCCTCCTAAGTAGCTAGGGCTGTAGGCACACCCTACCATGCTATGCCCAGCTAATTTTTTGTAGAGACGGAGTTTCGCTATGTTGCCCAGGCAGGTCTGGAACTCCTGGTCTGAAGCCACCTTCCTGCCTAAGCTTCCCAAAGTGCTGGGAATACAGGCGTGAGCCACTGAGCCCTTGAATAGAGTCCTGAAATGTGGAAAGTTTTTTTGTTTTTTTTTTTTTAAGACAGAGTCTCGCTCTGTTGCCCAGGCTGGAAGGCTGGCTGCAATCTCCCCCAGCTGGAATCCAGCAGTTCTCATGCCTCAGCATCCCTAGTAGCTGGCACTATAGGCATGAGCCACCACGCCTGGCTAATATTTTGTATTTTTAGTGCAGACAGAGGAGTTCCCCATGTTGGATAGGCTGGTCTCGAACTCCTGGCCTCATGATCCACCCACTCGGCCTCCCAAAGTGCTGGGATCACAGGCATGAGCCACTACACCTGGCCGAAAAGTGGAAAGTATTTTAAGGTGGAGAATGGAGAGTTAAGCAAGACAGGAATGAGCGTAACTATAACAGAGGCTATACACTGCTAAGAAGAATGGGCTAGATTTTGGAAGGACTTGAAAATCAGACCCAGTATGGATTTGATGCAATAGACAGTAAATGAGTCATTCCAAGGTGGGAAGAAATTTAGGAAATAGTAGAAACTCATAATAAAGGAAGGGTTTCTGAAACTTGTCTAGGGGAACTTGGATTATCTCCAGAGGCAATTGGGGATGTTGAGTTTCTTTTTTTTTTTTTTTTTTTTTTCCTCCCCAAATTCCTTTTTCACTGGTAGACTTAGAGAACGTACAATTTTCTTTAATAGAAAAAAAGAAATTGTGCCGGGCGCAGTGGCTCAAGCCTGTAATCCCAGCACTTTGGGAGGCTGAGGCTGGTGGATCACGAGGTCAAGAGATGAAGACCATCCTGGTCAACATGGTGAAACCCCGTCTCTACTAAAAATACAAAAAATTAGCTGGGCATGGTGGCGCGTGCCTGTAATCCCAGCTACTCAGGAGGTTGAGGCAGGAGAATTGCCTGGACCCAGGAGGCGGAGGTTGCGGTGAGCCGAGATCCGGCCATTGCACTCCAGCCTGGGTAACAAGAGGGAAACTCCATCTCAAAAAAAAAAAAAGAAACAAAGAAATTCCTTTTTATCGGTATGTGGAGTATCTGAGCAAGGAAAGGCCATAGGCCACAAATAAGTTGCTGGAGCATGAAGACTGACAAGTGGTTTCTTTCTAGGAAGCTATGAGGGACCCTGTGAGCAGCCAATATAGCTCCTTTCTTTTCTGGAGGATGCCCATCCCAGAACTGGATCTGTCGGAGCTGGAAGGCCTGGGTCTGTCAGATACATCCACGTACAAGATCAAGGACAGCAGCGTTGACAAAATGATCGGGCAAGCAACGGGAGCAAAGCAGGAGAAAAACCCTGAAGGTGATGCCCTCCTTGAGTACAGCACCTTCAACTTCTGGAGAGCTCCCATTGCCAGCATCCACTCCTTCGAATTGGACTTGCTCTAAGGCCAAGACTTCTCTCTCCCACCACCTTGCCCTCACTGTCTTTCCTCTCAAGCCCCTTCCTTTCCACTCCTTTCCCATTTTAATCTTGTTCTCTATTGTGTTGGTGGTGCTGATGAATCTGCCAGAGTTGTATGTATGTATTTATTTATCTACTCCATTTCTCTCAAAAGCCCTCAAGTCATAAAGTAAATGGTTCAAGCAATGGGGTACTGGGTCACAGGGATTCCTTTTCCCCCCAAAATATTAACTCCAGAAACTAGGCCTGATCATGGATACCTGAGAGTAGTATAGTATTGCAAAATGAAGACTGATTTTTTACTCCACTTTAATCAGCTTGAGATTGCTTAAACCTTCCTGATTTCCTGCTCCAGGCCAGTAAACACAAATATTTCTTCAAGGAGTGATGAAAACCTCGGAAGTTTTAATTTGAGATTATCTGCTATGAAACAAGTCTCTTGCTTTTTTGATCCTGCTTTCTTATAATATTTCTTCTCAGAGAAATCAAGGGGGTAGTCAGAAGTATAAAACAAGAGGAAATAATACATTATGAAAATAGGGAAAATAATTGAATCATTTTAGAAGTAGCTAATTTCTTTTCTCAAGAGTGTCCCTTCTTCAGGCCTACTCACTTTACAGCTTTGCTCCTGTGGGTTGAAAACTCTAACTAAAGAAATATATCAAATCTTAATATGCATTTTGCTATTATGATAGTTTTTAAGGTTTCAATTCAATCTTCCAAACTGCCTAAGTCCTTAGTATTTTAGCCTTACCTCCTGCATTTGCAATATGTAATACTGATCAGTGGGCAAAAAGTTCTTCAGCTGCACTGAGACACTGAAATGAACAATTACATTCTGAGTCTACATCTCGTCCTCAATCCTTCCAAAATTATTGTTGCCAATTTGTGCTGCCATTTACTCATTTATTTAATAAAGACATTCAATCCCAGGACTGGAGTCTAGTTTTTTCTCTCTTCACAAGGGAAGCTGTAGAAATATGAGAAATTAGCCTTGCTTTCACATTCAGCTTATACATTTTATTTATTTGTTTTGAGACAGGGTCCTGCTGTGTCACCCAGGCTGGAATGCAGTGGTGTGATCATGGCTCACTGCAACCTCCACCCCCCCAGGGTAAGGGATCCTCCCACCTCAGCCTCCCAGGTAGCTGGGATTACAGCTGCCCGCCACCATGCCTGGTTAATTTTTGTCTTTCTCATAGACACAGGGTTTTGCCATGTTAGCCAGGCTGGTCTGGAACTCCTGACCTCAGAGGATCTGCCCGCCTTGGCCTCCCAAAGTGCTAGGATTATAGGCATGAGCCACCACACCTGGCCTCATTTTATCTTTCTATAATATTCAACTTAGAGGAGGAATAATTTGAATAGCATTTAGACATTAAATGGTGAACTTCGAATTGAACAGATAAATAATGAAAGGGCAAAATCAACTTAAAATAAGAAAAGTAGTTAGGGAGACAGCTACAACCACTCTTCTGCCTGACCACTGACTACCAACATATTTCAGGTAATAATTCTCCTAGGTGCCTAAGAAGATAAACTAATTCACGTTATCTGCTTAACTGTTAGGTTTTGTGTGTCTACTCTATGAAAGGCACTGAGCCAAACTGAATGTAAACGGGAATCAGACCAGACTCCAACTCTCAAAAGAGAAACTGTAAATACCAATATGGATAGGATAGCATCGGGCAGAGTACCGTAAATAAGGATGCCATTACTAGAGAAGTCCCCAAGAGGGAGAGAAAAAGATAAATCCGGCCGGGTGCGGTGGCTCTCACCTGTAATCCCAGCACTTTGGGAGGCCAAGAGGGAGGATCACAAGGTCAAGAAATAGAAACCACCCCGGCCAACAGAGTGAAACCCCGTCTCTAATAAAAATACAAAAATTAGCTGGGTGTGGTGGCACGTGCCTGTAGTCCCAGCTACTTGGGAGGCTGAGGTAGGAGAATTGCTTGAACCCAGGAGGTAGAGGTTGCAATGAGCCGAGATCATGCCATGTACTCCAGCCTGGCGACAGAGCAAGACTTCATCTCAAAAAAAGAAAAGACAAATCCTCCGCTCAAGACCATGAAAAGCCCGCATCTAAAGATGGTCCCAGTCTAACGAAGAATGGGGCCAGGAAGGATAAGTAGTGCGTCCTTTTCTATTCACTGAGTTTTGAAGGGCTCCTTCAGAGTCCTTCAGTCATGGCAGTTGGTGGGTGGAAACAGGTATCAACTGTTTGGTTAATAAAATGACTAAATGGATTTGCAAACTCCTGCTCCATCCTCTTGCAGCCCTCCAAAAAGAAACGACTCACGGAGGGCGCGGTGGCTCACGCCGGTAATCCCAGCACTTTGGGAGGCCGAGACGGGCAGATGACTCGAGATCAGCCTGGCCAACATGGTGAAACCCCGTCTCTACCAAAAATGCAAAAAATAGTCCCGTGTGGTGGTGGCGGACGCCTGTAATCCCAGCTGCTGGGGAGGCTGAGGCTGGACACGGGAGGTGGAGGTTGCCGTGAGCCGAGATTGAGCCACTGCACTCCAGCCTGGGCGACGAAACGAGACTCCGTCTCAAAAGTAAAAATAAAAGAAATGACCCAGTTATTTGTTTCACTGTTCGCACTGACAGCTTGGCTCTGGGGTCTTTACATTCGGGCTGTAACTGGAAAAATGTGTCCATCAGGCACAGAACCGAATTCATGAGCAAAGCCAGGAACGTCCCAAACAGCTGCACCCAAGGTTAGGATAAGGAAGCCTGGCCGCCCCGGACCCCCGGAGAAGCAGCCTAGAGGTAAGACGCAAACTGCAGGACCGATCCACAATCTGAGTCTCCCTCTGCGGTTCGTCAGCTTCTGGGCGCCAACACCAGCGCCGGCTACGTCCCCTGCTGGAACTATTCAGACGCGCAAGACACGTAACCAGCAGTCCTCCGCCCCTTAAATAGTCCTGCCGAGGATGCCTCCGGGACCCTCTTTTCCACCACAGACGTCCCTCGGCAGACAGGCGATGAGCCTCGGGGGTGCATCATCTTTCTATCCGAATGGGAGTACGGGTTTTCTGATCATTTTCCCTTCACAGATTCCTCCGCCAGAAATCTTACTCGCGGCGTCTTCACTTCCGGGTCCGCCATTTTGTTGCCTCCGTTTCTCCACGAGGGGGGGTTAAAGGCCCCCAAAACATGAATACATGAAAAGAGCAAAAAGTAACCGTCCTTGACAGGGATCCTTAACTAAAGAAGGATACGGGACTAAACTGGCGGGCTCCGTGGAAGTGCGGCCGGCAGCGTCCCGGACAAGGAGGTGAGGGGGAAGAAGAGATGCGTGGACTCCGGGGGGTGTCAGGGCTGGAAAGGAAAGCGCTGTGAGAAGTCGCACTGCTTCCCAGTCAATCTCCGACTTCTGGGTGCGGACCGAGCGGCGCCCCGTCACCGAAGCGGGGACCGCTGGGGGATGGGGACGGAGAGGAAAGGGATGTTGTCGGGAGGAAGGGGAGGGGACTGGAAGGAGGTGAAGAAGGGGGTGGGTGTAAGACCTGGGGCTGGGGAGCTGGACCTAGGGAAGCCCTGGCCGCGGAGGTGACCACTAGGGGGCGGCGCGGAGCCGGGGCTGAGGCCTGTCCCCGAGACTGAGACTGGCTCCCTGCCCCAAATTGGTTTCCGTCTTTCAGACAGACATGGGTGTGAGGAATTGGAGGGTTTATGATAGAGGGGGAAACGGCGACTGTCATTCTCTGACCCTAATAATAACCTGAAAGATTGTTAGTGAACTCGGTAATCCGAATGAGAACAGGACGGGCCCCGCCTCTGCTCTTTTTTCTTTCTTTTCTTTTTTTTTTTTTTTTAAGACTGAGTCTCGCTCTGTCACCCAGGCTAGAGTGCATTGGCGCGAACTCGGCTTACTGCAACCTCTGCCTCCCGGGTTCAAGGGATTCTCCTGCCTCAGCCTCCCGAGTAGTTGGTACTACAGGCGCGTGCCCGGCTGATTTATTTTTATTTTTAGTAGAGACAGGGTTCCACCGTGTAAGCCAGGATGGTCTCGATCTCCTGACCTCATGATCCGCCCACCTCGGCCTCCCAAAGAGCTGGGATTACAGGTGTGAGCCATGGTGCCCGGACAATTTCTGTATTTTTTTAGTAGAGACGTATTTCACCATGTTGGCAAAGCTGGTCTCGAACTCCTGACCTTAGGTGATCCACCTGCCTTGACCTTCCGAAGTGCTGGGATTACAGGCACCACTCCCGGCCTTGCCTCTGCTTCTTTCACAGTTGTTTGTACAGCTGGCTGCCCAGTGGGGACATGAGCAATACAAAAAGAACCATGGATTCTTCCATTGCAATTCTTTCTGTTATGTCTCCTATTCTCATATACTTCCTTGAGCCAGAGGTCATCCCATTCCTCTCCCTTTTCCCAAAAGGCATTTCTCTCTAGGGGGTCCCCCCACCTCAGTGTCTAAAGACAAGGACAGTCTATGGCTTGCTATCAACAATGTAACACAGCTTTGGCCATCCAGGACCATATTTTCATCTAATGAAATAACATCTCCAGGAGAGATGTTCTTAGGCATCTGTTTTCACGCGTGCTTTGATGACAATAAGGATTAAATTGCTCCATCCAAATTCTTAAGAAAACAAAAGTAATTTCTCTTCGATAATAGAGTACTTTGTTATCAAGAGTGCAAGCACTTCATGAATTATTAAAACACACATTTATTGAAAGGTTTTGGCTAGGCACTGTGGCTCACGCCTGTAATCCCAACATATTGGAAAGCTGAGGCAACAGGATCCCTTGAGCCCAGGAGTTCTAGATCAGCCTGGGCAAAAACAGGGAGACCCCCCTCTCTACCAAAAAAAAAAAAAAAATGTTTTACTCGGTTGCGGTAGTGCCCAGCTACTCAGAAAGCTGAAGGGGAAGGCTCTCGCTTGAGCCCAAGAGGTCGAGGCTGCAGTGAGCTGTGATTGCACCACTACATTCCAGCCTGGACCACAGAGTGAGGCCCTGTCTCTTTAAAAAACAAACAAACAGGCCGGGCATGGTGGCTCATGCCTGTAATCCCAGCATTTTGGGAGCCTGAGGTGGGTGAATCACATGAGGTCATGAGTTCGAGACCAGCCTGGCTAACATGGTGAAACCCTGTTTCTACTAAAAATACAAAAAATTGGCCAGGCGCTGTGGCTCACGCCTGTAATCCTAGCACTTTGGGAGGCCGAGGTGGGTGGATCACCTGAGGTCAGGAGTTCAAGACCAGACTGGCCATCATGGTAAAACCCCATCTTAAAAAAAAAACTACAAAAAATTAGCCAGGCATGAAGGCACATGCCTGTAATCCCAGCTACTCCGGAGGCTAAGGCAGGAGAATCGCTTGAACCTGGTAGGTGGAGGTTGCAGTGAGCCCAGATCGAGCCATTGCACTCCAGCTTGGGCAACATGAGCGAAACTCTATCTCGAAAAAAAAAAAAAACCACTATCCAATCCCCTATTGACATATATTTAGGTTCTTTTCAATCTTTTTGTTTGTTTGTTTGTTTTAATTTTAATTTTTAGAGACAGGGTCTTGCTCAGTCAGCCAGGCTGGAGTCCAGTAACCATAGCTCATTGCAGCCTCTAACTCCTAGGCTCAAGTGATCCTCCCACGTTAGGCTCCTGAATAACTAGGATTACAGGTGTGGGCCACTATACCCTGCTAATTTTTTTATTTTTGTAGAGACAGAATCTCTCTATGTTGCCCAGGCTGGGCTTGAATTCCTGACTTCAAGTGATCCTCCTGCTTTGGCCTCCCAAAGCACTGGAATTTATTTTATTCATCTCTAAAATCCTAGAAGGCAAGTGAGACAAATTTTGTTTCCTCAGTTTATGTGTAGGGAAAGTGGGGACATAGCCAGGAAGGGAGAATATTGTTAGCTGTTTGTAATCAAGGAGTCAGAAGTGCCTAGACTGCTTTCTAGTGTATCAGCCTTCCTCTCTTGTCTGGTAGATGGCCCACCAGACAAGTATTGACCACCTGCCAGTACCAGCATTGACTCTTCCCCCCAAAATGCTCTGTGTGTGTGTGTGGTGGCACACGCCTGTAGTCCCAGCTACTTGGGAGGATGAGGCAGGAGAATCACTTGAACCCAGGAGGCAGAGATTGCAGTGAGCTGAGACTGTGCCACTGTACTCCAGCCTGTGGACAAAGTGAGACTCCATCTCCAAAAAAAAAAAAGGAAAGTAAAGGAATAAAGAATGGCTACTCACTCGGGCTGCTGGTTGCCCCCCGCCCCCCTTTTTTGAGACGGAGTTTTGCTCTTGTTGCCCAGGCTGGAGTGCAATGGCACTATCTCCGCTCACTGCAACCTTTGCCTCCCGGGTTCAAGTGATTCCCCTTCTCAGCCTCCCAAGTAGCTGGGATTACAGGCATATGCCACCATGCCCGGCTAATTTTTTGTATTTTTAGTAGAGACGAGGTTTCTCCATGTTGGTCAGGCTGTTCTCAAACTCCTGATCCCAAGTGATTCTCCCGCCTTGGCCTCCCAAAGTGCTGGGATTACAGTCTGAGCCACCACACCTGGTCCTGGTTGTCCATTTTTATGATTATTTCTTGATTATATGCTAAATAAGGGGTGGATTATTCATTTCTCCTCTTTTTAGACCATATAGGGTAACTTCCGGACATTGCCATAACATTTGTAAACTCCATGGCATGGCACTGGTGGGAGTGTAGCACGGAGGACAATCAAGAGGTCACTCTTGTCACCATCTTGCTTTTGGTGGGTTTTAGACATCTTTCTTGACTGTGGCCTGTTTCATTAGCAAGGTCTTTATGACCTTTATCTTGTGCTGACCTCCTATCTCATCCTGTGACTAAGAATGCTTTAACTGGCTGGATACGGTGGCTCACACCTATAATGCCAGCACTTTGGGAGGCCGAGGTGGGTGTATCACTTGAGATCAGGTGTTTGAGACCAGCCTGGCCAACATGGTGAAACCGTGTCTCTAGGGCCAGGTGCGGTGGCTCACGCCTGTAATCCCAGCACTTTGGGAAGCCGAGGTGGGTGGATCATGAGGTCAAGAGATCGAGACCATCCTGGTCAACATGGTGAAACCCCGTCTCTACTAAAAATCCAAAAATTAGCTGGGCATGGTGGCGTGTGCCTGTAGTCCCAGCTACTCAGGAGGCTGAGGCAGGAGAATTGCCTGAACCCAGCAAGCGGAGGTTGTGGTGAGCTGAGATCGTGCCATTGCACTCCAGCCTGGGTAACAAGAGCGAAACTCCATCTCAAAAAAAAAAAAAGAAAAAGAAAAAAGAAACCGTGTCTCTACTAAAAATACAAAAATTAGCCAGATAGTAGTGGCACGAGCATAATCCCAGCTACTCGGGAGGCTAAGGCAGAAGAATTGCTTGAGCCTGAGAGGCAGAGGTTGTGGTGAGCTGAGATTTTGCCACTGTACTCTAGTCTGGGTGACAGAGTAAGGCCTTGTCTCAAAAAAACAAAACAAAACAAAAAAAGAATGCCTTAACTTAATTGGAATGTAGCTCAGTAGGTCTCAGCCTTATTTCATCCAGCTCCTATTCAAGGTGGAGTTGCTCTGGTTCAAACACCTCTGACATGTCTCCCCTCCCTTTTATAAGAGAACCATTAATCCTAAGGGTTGTAAAGGGATGAAGATCCATCTTCTGTAACTTTTTCAGACTGAATAGGGATGATGATATTCCGGCCTGACTTTTAGGTTCTCTTATATTCAGGGTAGAGAGGTGCTCAGTCGGAAAGTATCAGTATGGTGAGAGCTATTCATAACTCTGACAAAAGGTGGTATCTGGAAGATGAAAAAGTGTGTAAGAAAACATTCGGTAAGCCTATCCTGTATTCCTACACAGAGTACAACAGCAGTACACTCCGCAACAGTGAAGCAAACTAAGCAAAACGATTCCAAGTAAACTAATAAGATGGTTTTCCATGAACTGGGCGATTGTTGGAACCAAGCTGATTCGGGGTGACTAGCTGATTCCAATATGTGCCCAGAATTAGAATATTGATCTGGATTTTTACATTATCCATCCTTTTGTTTCTTTTGAGCAGCAGCCAGTGATCACTGGTTGGTTCACAGGAATAAGCAGGGGTAGTCTAAATTGCAGGAAAAAAAACTGATGAGACTAGAATCTAATAACAGGTGTGCCATAGTTTGTGAAACATAATTTTTTCCTCTCTCTTGTCTCCCTTTTTTTTTTTTGAGACAGGGTCTCACTCTGACATGCAAGGTGGTGTGCAGTGGCATGATCTTGGCTCACTGCAACTTCTGCCTCCCGGGTTCTAGCGATTCTCCTGCCTCAACCTCTGGAGTATCTGGTTCAGCTAATTTTTATTTTTATTTTTATTTTTTATTTTTAGCAGAGACAGGGTTTCACCATGTTGGCCAAGCTGGTCTCCAACTCCTGACCTCAGGTAATCCACCCGCTTTGGCCTCCCAAAGTGCTGAGATTACAGGCATGAGCCACCGCACCCAGCCAGTCTCCCATTTTTACTAAATCATGGTAAAATAGATTTGCTTTATCATATGTGGCATGATTATTTGTACAAAATGCAGCAAGAGTAATTATTTTTCACATAGGCTTTTTAAATTCACTTTGAAAGCACTCTGTCCATAAAAGGAATCTCACATAAGACTTACAAAGCCAGTTAGGCCGGGCATGGTGGCTCACGCCTGTAATCCCAGCACTTTGGGAGGGCGAGGCAGGTGGATCAAGAAGTCAGGAGTTTGAGACCAGCCGGGCCAACATAGTGAAACCCTGTCTCTACTAAAAATACAAAAAAATTAGCCAGACATGGTAGTCGGCACCTGTAATCCCAGCTACTCAGGAGACTGAGGCAGGAGAATCACTTGAACCAGGGAGACAGAGGTTTCGGTGAGCCAAGATCTTGCCATTGCACTCCAGCCTGGGCAACAAGAGTGAGACTCCGTCTCAAAAAAAAAAAATCACACTGTTATGTGGGCATGGTGACTCATACCTATAATCCCAGTACTTCAGGACACCAAGGCAGGAGGATCACTTGAGCCCAGGAATTTGAGGTTGCAGTGAGCTATGATCATTCCACTGTTCTCCAGCCAGGGTGACAGAGCAAGACCCCATCTCTAAAAAAAGAAGAAAAAATGAAAAACTAAAGTTCATTAATTAACTTAATAAATCTATTACATATTAACATAAAACATTTTTTTTCTTTTTCTTTCTTGAGACGGAGTCTTGCTCTTTTGCCAAGCTGGAATGCAGTGGCGCAATCTTGGCACATTGCAACCTCCACTGCCCGGGTTTAAGCGATTTTCCCTTGCCTCAACCTCCCAAGTAGCTGGGACTACAGGTGCCTGCCACTAGGCCCGGCTAATTTTTTTTCTTTTTTTGTATTTTGGTAGAGATGGGGTTTCACCATGTTAGCCAGGCTGGTCTCAAACTCCTGACCTCATGATCTGCCTGCCTCGGCCTCCCAAAGTGCTGGGATTACAGGCGTGAGCCACCTCAACCAGCTGACAAGTAGTAATTTCTTTTTTTTTTTGAGACGGAGTTTCACTCTTATTACTCAGGCTGGAGTGCAATGACGCGATCTTGGCTCACCTCAACCTCCGCCTCCTGGGTTCAGTTAATTCTCCTGCCTCAGCCTCCTGAGTAGCTGGGATTACAGGCACGTGCCACTATGCCCAGCTAATTTTTTCTATTTTTAGTAGAGACGGGGTTTCACCATGTTGACCAGGATGGTCTCGATTTCTTGACCTCGTGATCCACCCGCCTCGGCCTCCCAAAGTGCTGGGATTACAGGCGTGAGCCACCTCGACCAGCTGACAAGTAATAATTTCTTATAAGTTAGTTGCACGAAGGCAGGACGATTGCTTGAGGCCAAGAGTTTGAAACCAGCCTGGGTAATATAATAAAACTGCATCTCTAGAAAAAAACAAAAAATTAGTCAGGCCTGATTGTGCATACCTATAGTCCTAGCTGCTTAAGAAGCTGAGGAAGGAGCATTGCTTGAGCCCAGGAGTTCGAGGTTTCGGTGAGCTATGATCGTAGCACCGTACTCCAGCCATTTGAAACAGGGAAAGACCCTGTTTCAAAAAGAAAAAAAGTTATGATGAGGAATTTGAAACCACATCAGTGTATTTTTGTATTCTGTAACCTTAAAACCCATTGGTCTTTCACTTTGAATTGTTTTACTTGTGCATGATTTCATAGCATCAAACACTGGTCATCTACAAAGTATTCGTTCACCAAATTGTGTAGATCATCTAAATATTGATGCATTTTATTATACAATATCAAAAAATCACATTCATTAATATTACCACTTCAACAAAAAAGTCTTTTTTTTTTTTTTTTTTTTGAGACAAAGTCTTGCTCTGTCACCAGGCTGGAGTACAGTGGCACGATCTCTGCTCACTGCAACCTCCGCCCCCTGGGTTCAAGCAATTCTCCTGCCTCACCCTTCCCAGTAGCTGGGACTACAGGCATGCGCCACCACACCCAGCTAACTTTTGTATTTTTAGTAGATATCAGGATTTCACCATGTTGGCCAGGACAGTCTCGATCCCTTGACCTTGCGATCCACCAACCTCGGCCTCCCAAAGTGCTAGGATTACAGGCATGACCCATTGTACCCAGCCCAGAAAAGTCTTTAATTAATAGTAAGTTATCAAGTTGATAGTGGTGATTATAGATTTTCCAAGATTCCAATTTTTGCTTGAAGGCTCAAATTGTAATTGATAATTGGCAGTAAATACTGTCAGTTGGCTGAGCGCAGTAGCTCATGCCTGTAATCCCAGCACTTTGGGAGGCCGAGGCAGGCAGATCACCTGAGTTCGAGAGTTCGAGAACCGCCTGAACCGCCTGACCAACATGACGAAACCCCGTCTCTACTAAAAATATAAAGTTATCGAGGCCTCATAGACTCTGAAAGGGATCAGGGACCATCAAGGGTCCATAAACCATACGTTTTGAACTACTGGCCTAAGCATATCAGTGTTTGATCAGTAAAGGCTTGTTCTTCTTAAATTTTTTATTTTCTTTTTTTTCTGAGACAAGGTCTGGCTCTATTGCCCAGGGTTGGGTGCAGTGGTACAATCTCAACTCACTGCAGCTTCCACCTCCTGGGCTCAAGTTATCCTCCCACCTTAGCCTCTCGAGTAGCCGAGACTATAGGCATGCACCACAATGTCCAGCTAATTTTTTTTTTTTTTTTTTTTTTTTTTTTTGAGATGGAGTCTCGCTTTGTCACCCAGTCTGGAGGGCAGGGGCGCGATCTTGGCTCTGTGCAACCTCCACCTCCCAGGTACAAGCGACTGTCCTACCTCAGCCTCCCAAGTAGCTGGGACTACATGTCTGTGCTACCATGTCTGGCTAATTTTTGTGTTTTTAATGGAAATGGGGTTTCACTATGTTGGCCAGGCTGGTCTCAAACTCCTGACCTCAGGTGATCTGCCTGCTTCAGCCTCCCAAAGAGCTGATGAGATTACAGGCATAAGCCAATGTGCCTGGCCAATTTTTGTATTTTTTTGTGAGACAGTTTCACCATATTGCCCAGTCTGGTCTCACACTTGGGAGCTCTAGTGATCCTTCTACCTTGACTTCCCAAAGTGCTGGGATTACAGTCCCAAGCCACTGCACCCCGCTTGGTCTCCTTAAATTTTAAGCATGATTATATCATTACACCATAGTCAGAAGATAAAAACAAGATTAAGATGCAGTTTGGGCTGGGTGTGGTGGCTCATGCCTATAATTCCAGCACTTTGGGAGGCCAAGGGAGGTGGATCGCTTCAGATCAGGAGTTCCAGACCAGCCTGGCCAATGTGAATGTGGTGAAAACCCATCTCTACTAAAAATACAAAAATTAGCTGGGCATAGTGGTGGGTGTCAGTAATCCCAGCTACTCAGGAGGCTGAGGCAGGAGACTCGCTTGAACCCGGGAGGCCAAGGCTGCAGTGAGCCAAAATCGCACCACTGCACTCCAGCCCAGGCAATAGAGCGAGACTGAGTCTCAAAAAAAAAAAGAGAGATGCAGTTTGATTTGGAAACCTTAATGTGTCCTGTTTCATTGTGGCATCCAAAGACCTACAAACCTCCAGAGAGAGCAGTTAGTTGCTATAAAGGGCTCTCATAATTTCTGTCAAACAGTAGTTTCACAGGGGGGCATCCATCTTGCTCCCTTCCTGGAAATCAGAGTGCATGTTCTATTATTTTGTATTAAGTTCCTTAAAATAATATTGTACCCTTCTTCATTTCAAGGGAACAAAATGGTATCAATTCCTTAAACTAGAGAGGTGGTAGGGTGTTGCAGATATTTCCAGAGTATTTTTCTGGGGATTGAGAGTGATAGACCTGTATATTAGGGCTTGGAACATTCCCAAATATTTTTTTGTTTGTGTTAGATGAGGTAGAAAGGAAGTGACCTACCAGACAGTCAACTTGAGATGTATCTTATATACATTCAAATATAAAAGGTCTGCAAAAAATGTATTGGCAGCTTTCCTTAAGTTTGAGTTATAGCTACCTGAAAACTTTTGTTCCTATGCATAAAGATGTCTTTGGTGGACTTGGGAAAGAGGTTGCTAGAAGCAGCAAGAAAAGGCCAAGATGATGAAGTGAGAACATTGATGGCAAATGGCGCCCCATTCACCACGGACTGGGTAAGCTTAGAAGAAAGGCCTCTTAATTATTTCTAATATATGCTTTTACCAACCTTTTTCTTAAAGGCTAACAGACTTTATTGGTTTTTCTTCACTCCCTTTCTACCTCATATCCCTTACTAGAGTTTTATATTCTTTGTCTCATCTGAATATCTTTTTCTTTTAGTTTTCCAAATTGAGAGTCTCCTGTGGATATATAGGTGATAATTGTAAGGTATTATATACTTGTGATTTTCTAGAATGTTTCTTAGAGTATTTTCTAAAGGTTTAACTCTCTCTAGAGTGTACTTGGGTTATAGGCTTCTGTAATTAGCTAGAAATTAAATAAAATCAATATCATAAGAATGCATTTCTAGACTAATAAACTCCTTGTTTCCTCTTCTCTAATATGCCTTGGTTAATAAGAAATCGTCTAGGCTGGGCACAGTGGCTCACACCTGTGATCCCAGCACTTTGGGAGGCCGAGGTGGGTGGATCACCTGAGGTCAAGAGTTTGAGTCCAGCCTGGCTAACATGGTGAAACCCTGTTGCTATTAAAAATACAAAAAATTGGCTGGGCGCGGTGGCTCACGCCTATAATCCCAGCACTTTGGGAGGCTGAGGCGGGTGGATCACGAAGTCAAGAGATCGAGACCATCCTGGTCAACAAGGTGAAACCCCGTCTCTACTACAAATACAAAAATTAGCTGGGCATGGTGGTGCATGCCTGTAGTCCCATCTACTCGGGAGTCTGAGGCAGTAGAATTGCTTGAACCCAGAAGGCGGAGATTGCGGTGAGCTGAGATCGTGCCATGGCACTCCAGTCTGGGTAACAACAGCGAAACTCCATCTCAAAAAAAAAAAAAAATACAAAAAATTAGCCGGGTGTGGTGGCGTGAGCCTGTAATTCCAGCTACTTCAGAGGCTGATGCAAGAGAATTCCTTGAACCCGGCAGGCAGAGGTTGCAATGAGCCGAGATCACACCATTTGCACTCCAGCTTGGGCAACGAGCAAAACTTTGCCTCAAAGAAAAAAAGAAATCGTCTAGCTGTTCTGTTTCCTTTACCACTGTTAAAAAAAAACATTAAAGAGGAAGGTGTAATTTAATGAGCCTAGGCAACATCCTGGAGACCAAAGAGTTTCAGAAGAAACAGGTCCAAGTTATAATGTGGGCTTTCTTAGCAGTCACAGATTTTGTACACATTGCCTAATTTTAACAATTTCACTCTATTCTGGAGTGATTGAGAGGCCAACAGATTCTTAGCACTTAACAAAAAGAAAGAAAAGGAAACTCATGAAATTAGCATTTCCATAAATAGACCTGGAATGAACAATGTGAATTAAATTCAGTCAAGCCGAGAGACTGAATATATGAAAAGCGAAGAATAAACTGAACAGGCTTAAAATAAAGAGCATAACAAAAAGAAGGGAATAGATATCTGGCCAAAGTGGGTGCTGATAGATAACTCTTACAAGATTTACGCTGGGGTGACAGACTTAATTACTCCTGTTGATACACCGTTGTTAAATTTTTATTGCCTCTTCATCTCATCATTCGTTTTGCCCTGCTTTACTATGGCAAAAAACTTTTCTTCCAGTCAGTCAAATTTGTACCTCAAATTCCACATGTAACTTTCTAGTGTCTACCCTTTTTCTTTTTTAAATTTTACTTTATTGCCAGGTTTGGTGGCTCGTGCCTGTAGTCCCAGCTAATTGGAAGGCTGAGGTGGGAGGATAGCTTAAACCCAGGAGTTCTGGGCTGTAGTGCACTCTGCCGATCAAATGCCCACACTAAGTTCGGCATCAATACGGTGACCTCCTGGGAGCGGGGTGAACCACCAGGTTGCCTAAGCAGGGGTGATCCGGCCCAGGTTGGAAATGGAGCAGGTCAAAACTCCCATGCTGATCAGTAGTAGGATCAGGCCTGTGAATAGCCACTACATTACAGCCTGGGCAACATATTGAGACACCGTCACTAAAAAAAGAAAATATATATATTTATTTTATTTATTTTGAGATAAGGTCTCTCTATACTGCCCAGGCTGGTCTTGAACTCTTGGGCTCAAGCAGTCCTCCTGCCTTGGCCTCCCAAAGTGCTGTGATTACAGGCATGAGTCACCACATCCACCCTGATCCTTTTTTTTTTTCAACCTTCCAAATGCTGCTTAACGTCACATCCTTTAGGGAATCTTACCTGATAAATCTACCTGACTTAAAGCCATTATACTTAGCACTTATTCAATTGGTGGTATATTTATTTGACCATTAGCATATTGATTTTTTTTTTTTTTTGAGATGGAGTTTCACTTTTTTGCCCAGGCTGGAGTGCAGTGGCACAATCTCTGCTCACTACAACCTTCACCTCCCAGGTTCAAAGCAGTTCTCCCTGTCTCAGCCTCTCAAGTAGCTGGGATGACAGGTGCCTACCACCATACCCAGCTAGCTTTTTTTGTATTTTTTAGTAGAGATGGGGTTTCACTACATTGGCTAGGTGGGTCTTTAACTCCTGACTGCAGGTGATCCACCTGCCTCAGCCTCCCCAAGTGCTGGGATTACAGGTGTGAGCCACTGTGCCTGGCTCCTGCCCTTTAATTTGTATTTTTTTTATTTATTTATTTTTGAGATGGAGTTTCGCTCTTGCTGCCCAGGCTGGAGTGCAATGGCACCATCTAGGGTCACCCCAACCTCCGCCTCCTGGGTTCAAGCAATTATCCTGCTTCAGCCTCCCAAGTAGCTGGAATTACAGGCATGTGCCACTACGCCCATCTAATTTTGGTTTCTTCATGTTGGTCAGGCTGGTCTCAAACTCCTGAACTCAGGTGATCCGCCCACCTCAGCCTTCCAAAGTGCTGGGATTACAGGTATGAGCCACCATGCCCGGCCTAAATTTTTTTTTTTTTTAAGATGGAATTTTGATCTGTCACCAGGCTGGAGTGCAATGGCACGATCTTGGCTCACTGCAACTTCTGCCTCCCGGGTACAAGCAATTCTTCTGTCTCAATCTCCTGAGTAGCTAGGATTACAGGTGCTTGCCACAAAGCCCAGCTAATTTTTTGTATTTTTAGTAGAGATGGGGTTTCACCATGTTGGCCAGGCTGGTTTTGAACTCCTGACCTCATGTGATCCACCTGCCTTGGCCTCCCAAAGTTCTGGGATTACAGGCATGAGCCACTGCACCTGGCTAACTTCTAAATTTAGCCATTTCTTCAGTTTTATCTGCTAACCAGATTCTCTCTTAAAGGACAGGAACCATAGCTTGTTCATTTGTATCTCTCCAGTATTGATCTAGGACTACACACAGTGGATATTCAATGACTATTATCTTCCCACAGCTTGGAACATCACCCCTTCATCTTGCAGCTCAGTATGGCCATTATTCCACAGCAGAAGTACTCCTTCGAGCAGGTGTTAGCAGGGATGCCCGGACTAAAGTGGACAGGACCCCCTTGCACATGGCTGCGGCTGATGGACATGCACACATCGTGGAACTGCTTGTTCGGGTAAAGCAAGAATAGTGGCAAGGTTATGTTTTAAAGAAGCCATCTGCCGTCCTGTTTTCTTACTTAAATGGGTGCTAGGAAACTGAGTTGGGAAGGATTAAGTTTAGGACAGTTTATAGAATTGATTGAGTCTCCAAGAGTCTTCATGGCTGTGAGGACTCTATTTTCTTATTTATTTATTTATTGAGACAGAGTCTCACTCTTGTCACTCAGGCTGGAGTGCAGTGGCGCGATCTCTGCTCACCACAACTGCTGCCTCCTGGGTTCAAGTGATTCTCCTGCCTCAGTCTCCCGAGTAGCTGGAATTACAGGTGCCTGCCACCAAGCCCAGCTAATATTTGTATTTGTAGTAGAGACAGGGTTTCGCCATATTGCCCAGGCTGGTCTTGAACTCCTGACCTCAGGTGATCCACCCACCTCAGCCTCCCGAAGTGCTGGGATTACAGGTGTGAACCACTGTGCCTGGCTGTTTTCTAACTTATTACAACACTTTTTTTTTTTTGAGACAAAGTATTGCACTGTCTCCCTGGCTGGAGTGCAGTAGCATGATCTTGCTCATTGCAACTTCTGCATCCCTGGTTCAGGCGATCCTCCTGCCTCAGCTTCCCAAGTAGCTGGGATTATAGGCGCCTGCCACCTCACCTGACTAGTTTTTTGCATTTTTAGTAGAGACAGGGTTTCACTATGTTGGCCAGGCTTCTGACCTCGTGATCCACTCACCTCAGCCTCCCAAAGTGCGGGGATTGCAGGCCTGAGCCACTGCACCCATCCCCAAAATAATCATTTTTTATTTGAGACGGGCTCACTCCGTTGCCCAGGCTAGAGAGCAGTGGCATGTTCATAGCTCACTGCAGCTTTCAACACCTGGGTTCAAGCAATTCTACTGCCTCAGCCTCCCAAATGGCTAGGACTATAGGCATGCACCACCATGCCCAGCTAATATATTTTTATTTTTTGTAAAGAATAGAGTCTTATTGTATTGCCCAGTCCAGGCTGACCTTGAACTCCTGGCCTCAAGCAATTCTCCTACCTCAGCCTCCCAAAGCAGCACTGAGATTACAGGTGTGGGGTTACTGTGCCTAGCCAGTTGTCTAATTTTCTTGAAATCATATATATATATATATATATATATATATATATATATATATTTATTTATTTATTTATTTATTTTTTTTTTTTTGAGACGGAGTTTTGCTCTTGTTACCCAGGCTGGAGTGCAATGGCGCGATCTCGGCTCACCGCAACCTCCGCCTCCTGGGTTCAGCCAATTCTCCTGCCTCAGCCTCCTGAGTAGCTGGGATTACAGGCACGTGCCACCATGCCCAGCTAATTTTTTTGTATTTTTAGTAGAGACGGGGTTTCACCATGTTGACCAGGATGGTCTCGATCTCTCGACCTCGTGATCCACCCGCCTCGGCCTCCCAAAGTGCTGGGATTACAGGCGTGAGCCACCACGCCCGGCCATGAAATCATATATATTTTTTTAAAATAAAGATGAGGTCTCACTATGTTGACTGGGCTGATCTTAAACTTTTGGCTTCAAGTGATCCTTCCATCCTTGGCCTTCCAAAGTGCTGGGAGTATAGGCATGAGCCATTGTGCCCAGCCTAGTTTTCCAACTTATTATTAACTTATTATAGGCTGGAGTGCAGTGGTATGATATCAGTTCACTGCAACTTCCACCTCCCAGGCTCGAGATCCTCTAACCTCAGCCTCCCCAGTAGCTGGGACCACAGGCACATACTACCATACCTGGCTAATGTTTTGAATGTTTTGTGGAAATGGGGTTTCACCCTGTTGCCCAGGCTTGTCTCAAACTCTTGAACTCAAGCTTTTCTAATTTTTTAAAGGCTAAACAGACTTATTTTTCTTCTTTCCCTTTCAGAAGGTATTATCTGCACTTAGGCCTTTTTTTTTCCAGGCACTTGGCTCTCTGTTAATAATGCAACAAAATCTGTTCTTTCTCTCTTCCTCTTCCATCTGTCTAATTTCTCAGTGTCCTTAGAGGACCCACACATTGAAGACCCACTCGGCTGTCAGCAGTTAGGAGAATTTGAGAAATGTTTTTCCCTTTGATATTCCTTAAATGGGATCTAGATTTGAGTATGTAAACTCTATGGAAATCATCTGTATTTGATGATGGGATGTTACACCTGTGCTACTATAACTACTGTGTACTGAAAAAGAAATGCTTTTCTGTGACAGAATGGTGCAGATGTGAATGCCAAGGACATGCTGAAGATGACAGCTTTGCACTGGGCCACAGAACGCCACCATCGAGATGTTGTAGAGTTACTTATCAAATATGGAGCTGATGTCCATGCTTTCAGCAAATTTGATAAATCTGCCTTTGACATAGCTCTGGAGAAAAACAGTGCTGAGATTTTGGTCATCCTCCAGGTGTGCTTCTTTTTATTCTCTTTTATACTCTCCAGCTTATACTTCAATAGAAGTTAAGGATTTTTTTGTAGGAATTGAATCAAAACTTAATTTTTCCTATCTTCTTAAAATAGCATTTCTAATATGTCTCAATTTTATGATTCAGTGTGATTAGTATCTTTAAAATACATATGTATGCCGGGCACAGTAGGTCACACCTGTAATCCCAGCACTTTGGGAGGCCAAGGCAGGTGGATCATGAGGTCAGGAGTTCAAGACCAGCTTGACCAACATAGTGAAACCTCGTCTCTACTAAAAATACAAAAAATTTGTTGGGTGTGGTGGCGCATGCCTGTAATCCCAGCTACTTGGGAGGCTGAGGCAAAAGAATTGCTTGAACCCGGGAGGCGGAGGTTGCAGTGAGCTACGATTGCGCCACTGCACACCAACCCCAGAGACAATGTGAGACTCTGTCTCAGGGGAAAAAAAAAAAGAAAGAAAGAAAGAAAAGGCCAGGCGAGGTGGCTCACGCCTGTAATCCCAGCACTTTGGGAGGCCAAGGCAGGTGGATCACCTGAGGTTGAGAATTCTAGACCAACCTGACTAACATGGAAAAACCCCATCTCTACTCAAAATACACACATTAGCTGGGCATGGTGGTACATGCCTGTAATCCCAGCTACTTGGGAGGCTGAGGCAAAAGAATTGCTTGAACCTGGGAGGTGGATGTTGCAGTTAGCCGAAATCACACCATTGCACTCCAGCCTGGCCAACAAGAGCGAGATGCTGTCTCAAAAAAAAAAAAAAGACAGAACAAAAGCCAAAAAATACAAATATATGTGTGTATATATGTATATTCTATAAAGCCCTGAATTATTCATGGTGATTAAAGAACCATGTCATGGCTACTACTAAAATATTTGTCTTTAGAATGTTTTTTTTCTCCATGAAAATTTCCTTTTCTAATTAAACTTGACTTGGGACAATATTAAACATTACTTTATGTTTTCTGAATATTCATCAACTGATGTGAGACAGTATACAGATGCTCCCTGATAGGGTTATGTTGGATGCAGATGTATCCCCATAATAAGTCAGATCACTTTTACACCATGGCAAAGCTGAAAAATTGTTGAACCCCCTTATAAATTGGGGAGCGTCTATGAAGCTCTAAAACATATTGAGTGACAAGGAAACCACTTCAGAATTTAAATTTAACTGTAACGATTTTATCCTGTTTTGTTTTGTTTTGTTTTTTGTGAGGCAGAGTCTCACTCTTTTGCCCAGGTTGGAGTACAGTGGCATGATCTCAACACACTGCATCCTCAACTTCCTGGGTTCAAGGGATTCTTCCACCTTAGCCTCTCAAGCAACTGGGACAACAGGTGCACACCACCATGCCCAGCTTATTATTATTATTATTTTTGAGATGGAGTCTTGCTTTGTTGCCCAGGCTGGAGTGCAGTGGCATGATCTTGGCTTATGGCAACCTCTGCGTCCCGGGTTTAAGTGATTCTCCTGTGTCAGCCTCCCGAGCAGCTTGGACTATAGGCTCATGCCACCATACCCAGCTGATTTTTGTATTCTTTTTTTTTTTTTTTTGAGATGGAGTTTCACTCGTTACCCAGGCTGGAGTGCAAAGGCGCGATCTCAGCTCACCGTAACCTCCGCCTCCTGGGTTCAGGCAATTCTCCTGCCTCAGCCTCCTGAGTAGCTGGAATTACAGGCACGCGCCACCATGCCCAGCTAATTTTTTTGTATTTTTAGTAGAGACAGGGTTTCACCATGTTGACCAGGATGGTCTTGATCTCGTGATCCACCCGCCTCGGCCTCCCAAAGTGCTGGGATAACAGGCTTGAGCCCGGCTGATTTTTGTATTCTTAGTAGAGACGGGGTTTCACCATGCTGACCAGGATGGTCTTGATCTCGTGATCCACCCGCCTCGGCCTCCCAAAGTGCTGGGATAACAGGCTTGAGCCCGGCTGATTTTTGTATTCTTAGTAGAGACAGGGTTTCACCATGTTGACCAGGATGGTCTTGATCTCGTGATCCACCCGCCTCGGCCTCCCAAAGTGCTGGGATAACAGGCTTGAGCCCAGCTGATTTTTGTATTCTTAGTAGAGACGGGGTTTCACTCTCTTGGCCAGGCTGGTCTCAAACTCCTGACCTCATGATCTGCCTGCCTCGGCCTCCCAAAGTGCTGAGATTACAGGTGTATACCACGGTGCCTGGCCTGTCCATTAATTTCTTAAAACGGGGAACAGTAGGCCAGGGGATATAAAAATTAATAGAACATGGGCCAGGCGTGGTGGCTCACACCTATAATCCCAGCAGTTTGAGAGGCCGAGGTGGGTGGATCACCTGAGGTCAGGAGTTGGACCAGCCTGTCCAATATGGTGAAACCCTGTCTCTACTAAAACTACAAAAACAATTAGCCGAGCATGGTGGCACGTACCTGTAATCCCAGCTACTCGGGAGGCTGAGGCAGGAGAATCACTTGAACCTGGAGGCAGAGGTTACAGTGAGCTGAGATCACACCATTGCACTCCAGTGTGGCGGACAAGAGTGAGACTGAGTCTTTAAAAAAAAAGGACATGAAGTGTTCACAGCACGATAAAAGTAAAGACAGGAAATAAAATATTTAACTGCATGTTAAATAGATACATTATAAGTGCCATGGGAGCACAAAGAAGGGAATAGTAGAATTTGAACTGAATATTGAAGTAGGCAGAGAAGTGAGAAAACTGTATTCTAGGCTAGAAAAAAAGCAAATCAAAGACAGAGGTATAAAAGAACGTGGAATGTGCAAGAAAAAGCAGTTGAGTGATGAGAGAGTGGTCAAAGGAAGTAGAGTTTGGGAGTGGCAGATGCTAAGCTTGAAAGGCTGGATTCTGAACGTGGAGGTGTTACACAGCATGCGCAGAAGTTTGAATGTCATGTGGATGATGGATGTGGATAGACGTTTTTAAATAGAGGACTGATATGATTAAATTTATTTTAAAAAGATGATTCTTTGGAGTGTGGCACACAGATCAGAGAAAGAAGACACTTAATGCTAAATAACTATATGGTGACTTTCATTAGGCCAGGCAAGAGCCAATGAGGACTTGAATTAAGGAAGTGCTTTTTTGCCATGTAGCAATACTACTCTTCCCTCCTCTGTGCTTCCATGGCCCTTACAGGATGTCTGTCGTGTAATATTATAATGTTTTATTTCTTATCTTTAATTTTATCATGCTGTAAACACTTCAGGTCCTAGCAGAGGATAAAGGAAAAGGGCAAATTCAAGAATGAATTTAGGCCAGATGTGGTGGCTCACGCCTGTAATCCCAGCACTTTGGGAGGCTGAAGCGGGTGGATTGCCTGAGCTCAAGAGTTTAAGACCAACCTGGGCAACACGGTGAAACCCCATCTCTATTAAATACAAAAGAAATTAACTGGGTGTGGCAGTGTGCACCTGTAGCTACTTGGGAGGCTGAGGCAGAATTGCTTGAAACTGGGAGGTGTAGGTTGCAGTGAGCCAAGATTGCACCACTGCACTCCAGCCTGGGTGACAGAATGAGACTCCACCTCTACAAAAAAAAAAAAGAAATAGCTATTTCTGCGTCATTTTCAGTTTTATTTGTTTGTTTTTGTTTTTTGACAGATGGCCTATAGACTGTAATTAGCCCCTTCAACTTTCAATTCTTTGTTTAGAGCCCTTTCATAACGACTTTTTTTTTGTAGAAAGTGATTTATTTAGAGAGAGAAAAAAACAGGAGAAGGAGAGAGAAATAAACAGCTGACTCACACTGAGTGAGAGAATCCAGAAAGATGGAATCCAGGAGAGGAAAGCAGCTTCCACACTGAGTGGAAGGGAATAGAGAATGATGGAGTCTAGGAGGAGAAGACCAGCTTCCACCCACGAAGGGAGTGTTCGTGGAAGAGGACTCCAGAGGGGAAATCCAGGATAGAGACAAACAGTTTCCACAAGCACAAGAGTATTCGTGGAAGGGGATCCAAACATGTAGTCCCCATAACTGGACTTTTTTAAGTAGTGATTATGTTTGTGGAAAACTGCTTCTGCAAGTAATAAAATAAAATAAAGATAAACTACTTTTCACCAAAATTGAACAGCTATCCCTGGAAGCAGAAGTACAGCATATGGAGTGAGACTTTAAAATCTGGCACTTATTTATTTGCTTGTTATATATTTTCTTAGGAATTTCTTTGATAGCAGAATGGAACAAGTAGTCGGCTAAAACTCTAGAGAATATTGTTCTCTGTAGATACTCTGCAGGGATCTCTTGCTAGCACACTGACTTGTAGATAATTAATCACAAAATATTAGGTTGGAAATTACTTTTTAGACTATTCAAGCCAACTCCCTCATTTTTCTTTTTTCTTTTCTTTTAAGACAGAGTCTTGTTCTGTCACGCAGGCTGGAGTGCAGTGACGTTATCTCAGCTCACTGCAACCTCCACCTCCTGAGTTCAAGCAGTTCCCCTGCCTGAGCCTCCCAAGTAGCTGGGATTACAGGCGCACGCCATCATGCCCAGCTGATATTTTTCTTTTCCTTTTTTTGAGACAGAGTGTCACTTTGTCTCCCAGGCTGGAGTGCAGTATCACGATCTCAGCTCACTGCAACCTCCACCCACCCCCAGGTTCAAACAATTCTCCTGCCTCAGCCTCCTGATTAGCTGTGATTATAGGTGCCTGCCACCATGCCAGGCTAATTTTTGTATTTAGTAGAGATGGGGTTTCACTATGTTGCCCAGGCTGGTCTCGAACTCCTGACCTCAGGTGATCCACCCGCCTCAGCCTCCCAAAGTGCTGGGATTACAGGTGTTAGCCACCGCACCTGGCCCAACCCCCTCATTTTTTAGATGAAAAAAAAACAAGATCCAGAGAGGTTAAGTGAATTGTCTAGACGTTTTTGCAAGTAATATACCTTCGCTTTCCTGAAGTAGAACAAGCTTTGAAAGAAGCCTAACAACTCTGTTGGCCTGGTCTGAAAAAACAAACTGTAGTCTTTTCTTGGCTCACAACAACTTCTGCCTCCCAGGTTCAAGCGATTCTCCAGTCTTAGCCTCCCAAGTAGCTGGGATTATAGGCATGCGCCACCATGCCCAGCTAATTTTGTATTTTTAGTAGAGATGGGGTTTCTCCATGTTGGTCAGGCTAGTCTTGAACTCCCAACCTCAGGAGATCTTCCTCAGCCTCCCAAAATGCTGGGATTACAGGCATGAGCCACCATGCCCAGCTAAAAATGGTAGTCATTTTTTTTTTTTTTTTTTTGAGACGATGTCTCACTCTGTTGCCCAGGCTGGCATGCAGTGGCATGATCTTGGCTCACTGCAACTTCCACCTCCTGGATTCAAGCAATTATCCGGCCTCAGCCTCCGGAGTAGCTGGGACTACAGGTGTGCACCACCACACCCAGCTAATTTTTTGTATTTTTAGTAGAGACGGGATTTCACTATGTTGGCCAGACTGGACTTGAACTCCTGACCTCCTGATCCACCTGATCCGCCTGCCTCAGCCTCCCAAAGTGCTGGGATTACAGGCGTGAGTCACCACACCCAGCCCTAAAAATGGTAGTCTTAATGAGAACTCTGAGCTCCCTGGGACACTGTATATAGGAAGTAGTTCTGCTTGATGGGGCATTGGGGTGGGAGTGAAGTATGCTGTTCAGTAACTGTAACTAAAGCTAATAAGTGTTCTTGGGCTGGGCATGGTGACTTATGCCTGTAATCTCAGCACTTTGGGAGACCAAGGTGGGTAGATCGCCTGAGCTCAGGAGTTTGAGACCAGGCTGGGCAACATGGCAAAACCCCATCTCTACTAAAAATACAAAAAATTAGCTGGGTGTGGTGGCACACGCCTGTAATCCCAGCTACTCAGGAGGCTGAGGCATGAGAATTGCTTGAACCCAGGAGGCAGAGGTTGTAGTGAGCTGAGATCACGCCGCTGCACTCCAGCCTGGGCCACTGAGTGAGACTCTGTCTTAAAAAAATAAAATAAGCAAGGCGCGGTGGGGCATGCCTGTAGTCCCAGCTATTTGGGTGGCTGAGGCTGGAGGATCGCTTGAGTCCAGGAGTTCTGAGCTATAGTGCACCATGCCAATCGGGTGTCCGCACTAAGTTCAGCATCAATATGGTGACCTCCCAGGAGCGGGGGACCAACAGGTTACCTAAGGAAGGGTGAACCTGCCCAGGTCGGAAATGGAGCAGGTCAAAACTCCCGTGCTGATCAGTAGTGGGATCGCGCCTGTGAATAGCCACCGCATTCCAGCCTGGGCAACATAGTGAGACCCCGTCTCTTTTTTAAAAAATAAAAATAAATAAAATAAAAAATAAAAAGAAAAGAAAAAAGCTAATAAGTAATCTGACTTTGAAATATCCTGCCTTCTTTGGTAGGAAGCAATGCAGAATCAGGTGAATGCTAATCCAGAGAGAGCCAACCTTGTGACTAACCCTGTGACTATGCCTGCTCCATTCATCTTCACGTCGGGAGAGGTTGTTAACCTTGCTAGCCTTGTGTCTTCAACCAACAGCAAAACAACCTCAGGTAATGTTCTGATAACATGACATTTATTTTAGACTCAAAAATGCACAGAACCCTAGATTTCCCTAGAAATGAATGGATACCCTGTCTAATATCCACTCCTTAATTAAAATGTGCCCAAAGCAGAAGATTTGTAATAGATTTCAAAGCAAAGGTACTTATTCTTTCTGGGGAAGGGAAGATCATACATAGGGATTATAAAGGAATACTTACTGTGTTAAAAGTAAAATATTCTGGCCTGGCACAGTGGCTCATATCTGTAATCCCAGTGCTTTGGGAGGCCAAGGTGGGAAGATTGCTTGAGGTCACTCTTGACTGGGCAACATGGCAAGACCCCATCCTCTACCAAAAATAAATTAGGTGGGCATGGTGATGCATACATGTAGTCTCAGCTACTAGGGAGACTGACATGGGAGTATCTCATGAGCTCAGGAGTTGGACTTACTGTGAGCTATGATTGTGCCACTGTACTCCAGCATAGGTGACAGAGCAAGACCCTGTCTCAAAAAAAAAAAAAAAAAAAGGAAAATATTGAAGGGTTATACCTAGACCAAAAATGAAAATATAAAGGTGCTTCAATATGGTACAGATAAAGAGAATAACCATTAATAGTTCAAAGCAGTAACAAAGCAGAATACACATAAGTAGCGTTTGGGGTACTAATATAAAAGAGGTAAATGCAATTATCTGAATAAAGTATAAGAGTCTGGATTTGTTCTTGAGTGCATATATAAAAGGAAAATAGCAGAGAAAAGTACTTGGTGTTGATCTTTAGACCTGTATGTTTTCAACAAACACTTCTATCTAAAAAAGAATGAATGATTTATTTTCAGCATCTCCTTTTACAAATATTTGTTTTACCATGAAATAACTTGTGTCCTCATTTAAATAAATTTTCCAATTGACTATTGGTTTCTTTTTTTGTTTCTGACTTTTATTTGAAAATAACAGTATTCTTAGTTAAGTTTGTATAATATCAAAGGAAAGATCTTGACTAAGATATTGAGAGGTAGTGTCATAAAAGAGAAGCAATGTATGTAATATACCCAGAATTTTGGAATCAGAATTGTGTTCAAATAATTATTGGTTCACTAGCTGCTTGACCTTAGGAAAACTACATACTTCTCTATGCCTTGTTTACTTATCTGTAAAACTGGGATATAATAATGTCCACTTTGTGAGGTTGTTGTGAGAGTTTAAGATTTTGTATTTCAGGGTCCATTTTGTAGCAGGGCTTCAATAATAGCTATTAAATGAAAACATAATTTCTTAGAGTTTCACCCTGACATGCCCACAAGGGAGCAATAGTGATCTTCATTTTTTAGGCTATCAACAGTTATTTAAAATAATTCTGCATTCTGGCTGGGTGCAGTGGCTCACGCCTGTAATCCCAGCACTTTGGGAGGCTGAGGCGGTTGGATCACGAGGTCAGGAGTTCAAGACCAGCCTGGCCAACATGGTGAAATCCCGTCTCTAAAAAAAAATTAAATAAATAAATTTGCATTCAGCTGGATGATCCAAAAACTTTACATTAAATTTATATATACATGTACTCAGAACATTCACAATCTTTTGGATTTATATTGGTTCAGTCATGCTAATTAAAATAACTATTCTTATATTCTAAAAGTATTTTGTAGCCAATAAAGTTATATGCTCACAAACCTGTGAAAAGAGCTAGAGTTGGTCTTTAGTCTACTGAAATTCTCCAGATCCTGATGTGGAATGATAAGCAAAGTTAAACACATTCAAAATAGAGATTCTTTGCTTTGGTTCCCATGCACCAATATCATGTTTGTCATGCAGCTTCTGGCAGACCTACTCGACTTTCCTCTTTATATAGATAACTGCAAATTGAAATTGCTAAACTATCATATAATAGAGCTGACCTCCCCAATGCCATCTTATTCATAAAGCAGTTCTACCTAGCTATCCCTCCTTAACTGATAAGCCTGCCCAGTGTTTAATCAGTGTAGATAAAGGAAAGGGAGGACATTTATAAGACAAATTCAGGTCTTATAAGTGTTAGTCAACTGGCTTGAAGGATATATGTATTTTTTTAGATGGAGTCTCGCTCTGTCACCCAGGCTGGAGTGCAGTGGCATGATCTCGGCTCACTGCAGCCTCCGTCTAACTCCCAGGTTCAAGCAATTCTCCTGCCTCAGCCTCCCCAGTAGCTGGGACTATAGGCACATGCTGCCACGCCTGGCTTATTTTTGTGTTTTTAGTAGAGACGGGGTTTCACTATGTTGGCCAGGATGGTCTTGTTCTCCTGAACTCGTGATCCTCCTGCCTTGGCCTCCCAAAGTGCTGGGATTATAGGCATGAGCCACCGCACCCAACCAGCCTTAGATTTATTTTAAGATTTTGTTTTTAGATTTAGATTTTTAAAAAGATTTTTCAAAAGTCTTTTTTTTTGTTGTTTTTGTTTGAGACACAGTCTCACTCTGTCACCCAGAATGGAGTGCAGTGGCACAATCTCAGCTCACTACAAGATCCAACCTCCACTTCTGGGGTTCAAGTGATTCTCATGCCTCAGCCTCCTGAGTAGCTGGGATTATAGGCCCATGCCCAGCTAATTTTTGTATTTTAAGTAGAGATGGGGGTTTCACCATGTTGTCCAGGCTGGTCTCGAACTCCTGACCTCAGGGGATCCACCCACCTCAGCCTCCCAAGTGCTGAGATTACAGGTGTGAGACACTGCACCCAGCTGATTTTTTTTAAGTATTAAAAATTATATACATATATGTAGTATTATATATCTATGTATTTTATATATATATATACGTATATATATACGTATATATATATATACGTATATATATATATATACGTATATATATATATATACGTATATATATATATACGTATATATATATATACGTATATATATATATATAAAGAATTGGCTGGGCGCGGTGGCTCAAGCCTATAATCCCAGCACTTTGGGAGGCCGAGGCGGGTGGATCACGAGGTCAAGAGATCGAGACCATCCTGGCCAACATGGTGAAACCCCATCTCTATTAAAAATACAAAAATTAGCTGGGCATGGTGGCACGTGCCTGTAATCCCAGCTACTCAGGAGGCTGAAGCAGGAGAATTGCTTGAACCCAGGAGGTGGAGGTTGCGGTGAGCGGAGATCACACCATTGCACTCCAGCCTGGTAACAAGAGTGAAACTCCGTCTCAAAAAAAAGAATTAACTGGCTGGGCGCAGTGGCTCACGCCTGTAATCGCAACATTTTAGGAGGCTTAGGCAGGTGAATTACGAGGTCAGGAGTTCAAGACCAGACTGGTCAACATGGTGAGAAACCTCATCTTTACTAAAAAAAAAAAAAATTAGTTGGGCATGGTGGCTCGTGACTGTAATCCCAGCTACTTGGGAGGCTGAGGTAGGAGATCACTTGAACCGGGACCCAGGAGGCGGAGGTTGCAGTGAGCCGAGATCGCGCAACTGCTCTCCAGCCTGGACTACAGAGCGAGACTCCACCTCCAAAAAAAAAAAAAAAATTAACAAAGTATCATAGGATTGTTATTTTAGTAGATATTTTTGATACCAAAATCTGGATGGCAAAGTTTGTTTTCAAATTTTCCATTCATAGCCAGGGATGGTGGGTCACACCTGTGATCCCAGCACATTGGGAAGCCAAGGCAGGCAGATCGCTTGAGTTCGGGAATTTAAGACCAGCCTGAGCAACATGGCGAAACCCTGTCTTTACAATAAATAGAAAAAATTAGTGAGGCATGGTAGTATGGGCCTATAGTCCCAGTTACTTGGGAGGCTGAAGCAGGAAGATCACTTGAGTCTGGGAGGCAGCAGTTGCAGTGAGCCAAGATCATGTCAGTACATTGCAGCCTGGGTGACAGAGTGAGACTCTGTCTCAAAAAAAAACAAAAATTTCTATTTATGACTAAGGATATCAGTCATCATCAGTGCCACCATCAAACTGCAGTGATTTGGGAAGGCAGACTAATCTAAACATTAATCAGGATAAAACAAAGTTACAAAGGTGAATTTCCTGTTTTTGCACAATCATGAGATACATTCCAAATTAAATATAAATAGGCTGGGCGAGGTGGCTCACACCTGTAATCCCAGAACGTTGGAAGGCTCGTGGATCACTTGACATCAGGGTTTGAGACCAGGCAGGCCAAAATGGTGAAACCCTGTCTCTACTAAAAATTCAGAAATTAGCCTGGCATGGTGACACATGCCGGTAATCCCAGCTACTTGGAAGGCTGAGGCAGGAGAATCACTTGAACCCGAGAGGCTGAGGTTGCAGTGAGCCACGATCACAGCACTGCACTCCAGCCTGAGCAGTAGAGTAAGACCCCCACCCTATCTCAAAAAAAAAAAAGAACACAAATTAAATATAAATAGCTTTATATTGGTTCATAAAGAACATAAATTTTGGAATCAGATAAAATAGATAGCTTTATATTGGTTCATAAGGAATGTAAATTTTGGAATCACATGAATTAGGTTCTAATCTGGGCTTTGACAATAGCTATATGACCTTAAGCAAGTTACTTTGTTTTTCTGGTTCTAGTTTTCACTAACTCATTGAGACTGTGTAGCCTATCGTAGCACACCCTCCTAAATCCTGGTCTAAAGAGTTTATTTACATAAACTTCTGAATACATAATAAGTTTCACTGATACGCTTTTTTCTTTCTAAAAATGTGCATGTGAAGCATCCATGAACATTTTGTTTCATTTAATATTGGGTTTTACATTGAGGAGAAGGAGGCAATTAACGTTTTTTGAACAATGAAATAATTTATTTTCCTGTAATTCACTCAAATAAGTCTAAGGAAACAATTCGCACTATCGGTTTTCAGTTTCAATTGTATATGTCCTAATATTCAACCTGATTTTTTTTTTTTCATAATTGAGGCAGAGTCTTGCTCTGTCGTTCAGGCTGGAGTACAGTGGTGCAATCTCGGCCCACTGCAACCTCCGCTGCCTGAGTTAAAGCAATTCTAGTGCCTAAGCCTCCCGAGTAGCTGGGACTACAGTCGTGCTCCACCCTGCCTGACTAAATTTTTTGTATTTTTAGTAGAGATGGGGTTTCACCATGTTGCCCAGGCTGGTCTCAAACTCCTAACCTCAGGTGATCTGCCCACCTCGGCCTCCCAAAGTGCTGGGATTACAGGTGTGAGCCACTGCACCCAGCTCTAAACCTGATTTTTCATAAGTTCTTTCTTAATTTTGCTATTGAGGTGAAGTTGGATGAGTTCTGTTTGAATCAAAGGAAGAGCACCCTTAAATTGGAACCATTATATGCTAAAGAAGCTATAATGTGACCAGGTGCAGTGGCTCACGCCTGTAATCACAACAGTTTGGGGGGCCGAGGTAGATGAATCACCTGAAGTCAGAAGTGTGAGAGCAGCTTGGCCAACATGGCGAAACCCTGTCTCTACTAAAAATACAAAAATTGGCCAAGCATGGTGGCGGGTGCCTGTAATCCAAGCTACTTGGGAGGCTGAGGCAGGAGAATCACTTGATGAACACCCAGGAGGCGGAGGTTGCAGTAAGGGGAGATGGCACCACTGCACTCCAGCCTGGACAACAGAGCCAGACTCTGTCTCAAAAAAAAAAAGATATAATGCTTTTCTCAAGAAGCAGTTTTAGCTAGATATTTACCATTAGTTTAGCTGGGTGGCCCACCTGTTGCTTGGCCTACTTGAACTTGTAATTATAAGAGCCTTGTGGCCAGGCACAGTGGCTCACGCCTGTAATCCCAGCACTTTGGGAGGCCGAGGTGGGTGGATAACGAGGTCAGGAGTTCGAGACCAGCCTGGCTGAGATGGTGAAACCTCACCTCTACTGAAAATACAAAAATTAGCCAGGCGAAGTGATGGGCTCCTGTAATCCCAGCTACTCAGGAGGCTGAGGCAGGGGAATTGCTTGAACCGAGGAGACAGAGGTTGCAGTGACCTGAGATCACACCACTGTACTCTAGCCTGGACAAGCAAGACTCCATCTCAAAAAAAAAAAAAAAAAAAAAAGGCTTGGAGGGAGAGAGAGAGAGTTTTAACTGTAATGAAATAAAAACAGCCTCTTCTAGGCCACGAGTGGTGGCTCACACCTGTAATCTCAGCACTTTGGGAGCTCGAGGTGGGTGGATCACCTGAGGTCAGCAGTTGAGAGTAGCCTGGCCAACATGGTGAAACCCTCTCTCTACTGAAAATTCAAAAATTAGCCAGATGTGGTGGTGGGGGCCTATAATCCCAGGAGAATCACTTGAACCTGGGAGGTGGAGGTTGCAGCTGAGTTGAGATCAAGCCATTGCACTCCAGCTTGGGCAAAAAGAGCAAAACTCCACTCCAAAAAAACCTAAAACAATCAAACAAAAGAAACACAGCCTTTTTTTCTTTTCTGGAACAAGGAACTATGGAAAAACATAGTATTTTCTAAAAGAACTGTTGTTATTATTATTATTATTATTATTATGGTTTTTTGTTTTTGGAGACAATCTTGCTCTGTCACCCAGGCTGGATGGAGTGTAATGGCACAATCTGGGCTCATTGCAACCTCTGCCTCCTAGGTTCAAGCAATTCTCCTGCCTCAGCCTCCCAAGTAGCTGGGATTACAGGAACCCACCACCACGCCTAGCTAATTTTTGTATTTTTAGTAGAGACAGGGTTTTGCCATGTTGGCCAGGCTGGTCTCAAACTCCTGACCTCAGGTGATCTGCCTGCCTCAGCCTCCCAAAGTGCTGGGATTACAAGCATGAGCCACCACTCCTGGCCTATTTGTTTGTTTGTTTTTGTTTTTGTTTTTTTGAGACAGAGTCTCATTTCGTCGCCAGGCTGGAGTGCAGTGATGCAGTCTTGGCTCACTGCAACCTCCACCTCCCACGTTCAAGTGATTCCTTGCCTCAGCCTCCCGAGTAGCTGGGAGTACGGGTGCACACCACCATGCCCAGCTAATTTTTATAATTTTAATAGAGATGGTGTTTCACCATATTGGTCAGTCTGGTCTCGAACTTTTGACCTCAGGTGATCCATCTACCTCGGCCTCCCAAAATGTTGGGATTATAGACATGAGCCACCACACCCAGCCTAAAAAACTTACTGATGACTTATAGTCATTTATATATATTCCAACCTTTAAGAAGGACGTATATTTAAAAAATTAAAAATTGCTTGTTCTTTGTTTCATTTTAGGAGGATTTGTGAGTTCTTACAGCAGTATTTGGTATAAAAGGTTGAGTGAGGAAAAAGGCATGAACTACGAGGGAAAATTTGGGTATAGGCTGTAGCTGAACCTTACTCTGCATAGAGTCATTTGATAGACATAGGGTACTTCCGGAGGTCAAGCATGGTATACCATTCAGACCATTCAGTTCTCTGGGTATTTTAGGAGAGCATTAGAATAAAATTGGTTTACTGAGTGTGTGTGTGGAGGAAAAGCAAAAAGAATAACATTGGGATATCATCACTACATCCATCCCCATCCTCACTCCCATAGTCATCATCCGAAAGCTTTAATTAAAATAGTTTGTAAACATGGCTCGGTGACTCACGCCTGTAATCCCAACACTTTGGGGGGCTGAGGTGGATCACTTGAGGTCTGGAGTTTGAGACCAGCCTGGCCAATGTGGCAAAACCCTGTCTGCACTAAAAATACAAAAAAATTAGCCAGCCATGGTGGCAGGTGCCTGTAATCCCAGCTACTTGGGAAGCTGAGACAGGAGAATCACTTGAACCTGAGAGGCAGAGGTTGCAGTGAGCTGAGATGGCACTACTGCACTCTGCCTGGGTAACAGAGTGAGACTATCTCAAAAAAAAAAAGTGGTTTGCAGCTTGAGGATGAATTACTTTCCATGCAAGTAATTCATCTTTTTAAGGAATAGCTGAAATTTAAATGTATAAACCAGTTAAATTACCTAATCACATCAAAAAAGGATTCTCTGCTCTGTGGAAGGATTTTCTTTAAGGAATGTTAAATAGGGTTTCCTTAAGTATTTTGCAGGTAACTGACTTTTTTCTTTTAATTAAAAAATAAAAGGCCAGGCACAGTGGCTCATTCCTGTAATCCCAGCACTTTGGGAGGCTGAGGCAGGCAGATCATGAAGTCAGGAGATTGAGACCATCCTGGCTAACGTGGTGAAACCTTGTCTCTACTAAAAATACAAAAAATTAGCCAGGCGTGGTGGCACGTGCCTGTAATCCCAGCTACTCGGGAGGCTGAGGCAGGAGAATCGCTTGAATCTGGGATGCAGAGGTTGCAGTGAGCCAAGATCACACCACGGCACTCCAGCCTGGGTGACAGAGCCAGACTCCATCTCAAAGAAAAAAAAAAAAAAAAAAAGATGAGGTCTTCCTGTGTTGCCCAGACTGGGCTCAAAATACTGGGCTCAAGCAGTTCTCCTACCTCGGTCTCCCATAGTGCAGGGACTACAGTTGTGAGCCACCCTGCTTGGCCTGATAACTGACTCTCTTTTTTGGGGGGGCGGATACATAGTCTCTGTCACCCAGGCTGGAGTGCAGTGGCACAATCTCTGCTCACTGCAACCTCTCCCTCCTGGGTTCAAGGGATTCTCTGCCTCAGCCTCCCGAGTAGCTGGGACTACAGGCACCTGCCACCATACCTGGCTTATTGTTTTGTATTTTGTAGTAGAGATGGGATTTCAGCATGTTGGCTAGAACTCCTGACCTCAGGTGATCTGCCTGCCTCAGCCTACCAGAGTGCTGGGGTTACAGGCATTAGCCACTGTGCCTGGCTAATTTTTTGTATTTTTAGTAGAGACAGGGTTTAACCATCTTAGCCAGGATGGTCTCAATCTCCTGACCTTGTGATCTGCCCACCTCAGCCTCCCAAAGTGCTGGGATTATAGGCATGAGCCACTGTGCCTGGCCCCTTTTTTTTTTTTCTTTTGAAATATCCCTGTTTTCTTTTCTTTTCTTTTTTCTTGAGATGGAGCCTTGCTCTGTCACCTAGGCTAGAGTGCAGCGGCACAATCTCAGCTCACTGCAACCTCTGCCTCAGGGGTTCAAGCAATTCTCCTGCCTCAGCCTCCCAAGCAGCTGGGATTACAGGTGCTCGCCACCATGTCTGGCTAATTTTTGTATTTTTAGTAGAGACAGGGTTTCACCATGTTGGCCAGGCTAGTCTTGAACTCCTGACCTTAGGTGACCTGCCCATCTTGGCCTCCCAGAGTGCTGGAATTATAACCGTGAGCCACCATGTCCAGCCATTTTAGACTTTCAAGATACTTCTTGAAAAAAAAAGAGTTCCAATATCAAAATATGTTGGGGAAACAGCATATCTGGTTTTTTTGTTTGTTTTTTGAGCCATGTCTTGCTCTGTCGCCCAGGCTGGAGTGTAGTGGCTCCATCTTGGCTCACTGCAACCTTGGCCTCCCAAGCTCAAGCTATTCTCCTGCCTCAGCCTCTGAAGTAGCTGTGACCACAGGCGCATGCTATCATGCCTGACTAATTTTTGTCCTTTTAGCAGAGACAGGATTTTGCCATGTTGGCCAGGCTGGTCTTGAACTCCTGGCCTCAAGCAATTCACCCATCTTGGCCTTCCAAAGTGCAGGGATTACAGGCGTGAGCCACCATGGCGAGCCAAAACAACGTTCTTATACCCTGTTGGGGAATCATAATGCTTATTAGCCTGTTGAAGTATATGATACTTCCTACAAAACAAACAAGTTTAAGCATATTTAAACCAGAATTTTGAAAACATATTTATACACAGAACCAATCTTTAGTGAAAGTTATTAACACCTCAATGAACACATTTTATAAAATACTGTTTTAATGTATTCTCTGTTTTCTTTTCTCCTCTGACTTAGCTTATGCATACTGTTGAATCTCACTTCTTTTTTTTCTTTTTTTTTTCAAATTTTCCTCTCCCTGAATGTTGTCAGGTTCAAGGAAGTTGAAATTGCTATACTCCTATTTAAAAAAAAATCTCGAATTTTAAATTTACTTTTGTCATCTCTAGCTAATTCAGAGGAAATTATAGAGGGAAATTCTGTTGACTCATCAATCCAGCAAGTAATGGGGAATGGAGGCCAGAGGGTCATCACCATAGTAACTGATGGAGTCCCTTTGGGTATCCCTACTGGAGGCATTGGCCAGCCATTTATTGTAACTATGCAAGATGGACAGCAAGGTGAGTTATCTGTTGTAGACAATTGTTTATTAAAAGATATTTTAGATACTCCATACCCCCCCTAAAAATGAGGCATTAAGACGAATAGTGGGAGTGGGAGACTACCAGATGCAAGTTGGGGCAAAGAAGATCTGAAAAAGAAAAAGAAACAGAATAGGCTGGCAAAGGTAATAGCCTGACATGTATAAAATCTGTAGTAAAAACCAGTTTATCTGCTGGGAAAAAGAGCAAATAATATGAACCAGTAGTTCACAGAAAAAGAATGTATCAGTGGCTCTTAAAAATATGAAAATAGGCCAGGTGAGGTGGCTCACAACTGTAATCCCAGCACTTTGGGAGGCTGAGGCAGGTGGATCACTTGAGGTCAGGAGTTCAAGACCAGCCTGGCCAACATGACGAAACCCCATCTCTACTAAAAATATGAAGTAGCCAGGCATGGTGGCGCATGCCTGTAGTCCCAGCTACTCAGGAGGCTGAAATAGAAGGATCACTTGAGCCCAGGAGGTTGAGGCTGTAGTGAGCCATGATTGTGCCACTGCATACCAGCCTGGGTGACAGAGTAAGACTGTCTCAAAAAAAAAAAAAAAAGAAGAAAAGAAAAAAAATATATATATGTCATCCCAGCACTTTAGGAGGCCAAGGTGGGTGGCTTATGAGGTCAAGAGATCAAGACCAACCTGGCCAACATGGTGAAACCCCGTCTCTACTAAAAATACAAAAATTAGCTGGGCGTGGTGGCACATACCTGTAATCCCAGGTACTCGTAGGCTAAGGCAGGAGAATCACTTGAACCCAGGAGGTGGAGGATGCAGTGAGCCAAGATTACGCCACTGCACTCCAACCTGACGACAGAGCGAGACTCTGTCTCAAAAAAAAAATAAAATATATTCAAATGACTTCATTCATAACAAGAGAAGTGAATATAAATACTGCACTGAGATACCATTATAACACTATGTTGTTAAAAGTGTAGGGAAACAAGCAGTCTTATAAATCACTCATGAGGGTGCAAATTAATGGATCCTCTAAAAAGGATATTGGCAATATCTGTAGGTATTAAAGATGTACATAAGATGTACCTTTGGGTTTTTTGGTTTGTTTGAGATGGAGTCCCTCTCTGTTGCCCAGGCTAGAGTGTGGTGGCGGGATCTTGGCTTACTGCAGCCTCCATCTACCCAGTTCAAGCGATTCTCGTGCCTCAGCCTCCTGAGTAGCTGGGACTGTAGGTGCATACCACCACGGCCAGTTAATTTTTGTGTATTTTTAATAGAGACAGGGTTTCACCATGTTAGCCAGGCTGGTCTCAAACTCCTGACCTGAAGTGATCCTCCAGCCTCCACCTCCCAAAGTGCTAGGATTATAGCCATGAGCCATCACACCTGGTCAAGATACACCTTTTGGTTAAACAGTTCTTTTTTCTTGTGTGTGTAACTGGGTCTTGTTCTGTTACCTGGGCTTGTATACAGTGGTGTGATCGTGGCTCACTGCAGCCTCGAACTCCTGGGCTCAAGCTATCCTCCCACCTCAGCCACCTGAGTAGCTGGGGCTACAGTTGCATGCCACCATGGCCCGCTATATTCAGACTGAGGCTATATATTAGTATACTGAGGCATAACATTAGTTGCTTCCAGGGAGGGCAACTGGGTACTAAGGATGGGTGGGAGGCTTTTCAATGTGTGTGCTTTTATAACCTTGAGTTTTAAAATTATTTAATGTGTCGTGCCTGTAGTGGCATTAAAATTTTGTGAATAATTATTCACAAAAGACATAATTAAAATTTTTTGAAAAGAGGAAGCCCATCACTACAACTCCATGCCTTAAAAATATTGGAGGTTGGCCTGGCATATTGGCTTACATATGTAATCCTGTAATCCTAGCACTTTGGGAGATGAAGGCAGGAGGATTTCTTGAGGCCAACAACTCCAGACCAGCAGGGACAACATGGCAAGACCCCCAGGCTGGAGTGCAGTGGAGTCATCTCAGCTCGCTGCAATCTCTGCCTCAACCGTTCAAGTGATTCTCCTGCCTCAGCCTCCAGAGTAGCTGGGACTACAGGCACGTGCCACCACGCCCGGCTGATTTTTTTTACTTTTAGTAGAGACAGGGTTTCATCGTGTTAGCCAGGATGGTCTTGATCTCCTGACCTTGTGATCCGCCTGTCTCAGCCTCCCAAAGTGCTGGGATTACAGGCATGAGCCACCATGCCTGGCCTCTACAGAACTGTTTTAAAAAATAGCCTGGTTGGTGGCACGTGCTTATAGTTCTGACTACTCAGGAGGTTTTGGCAGGAGAATCACTTGACCCCAGGAGCTCAAGGTTGTAGTAAGCTGTGATTTTGTCACTGCACTCTAACAGAGCAAAACATTGTCTCTAAAAGATAAAAATATATATATTGGAGGTTGAAAAGAAGAGTACAGGTATAATTTCCTTTTTTAATGTCACTAAAATTTTGACTTGGCTTAAATGATTGTGGGGATTTATGATTTTTTTGAGATGGAGTCTCGCTCTGTCGCCCAGGCTGGAGTGCAATGTTGAGGTCTCAGCTCACTGCAACCTCCACCTCCTAGGTTCCAACAATTCTGGGATTATAGGCGCCTGCCACCACGCCCAGCTAATTTTTGTATATTTAGTAGAGACTGGGGTTTCACCACGTTGGCCAGGCTGGTCTCAACTCCTGATCTCGTGTTCCACCTGCCTTGGCCTCCCAAAGTGCTGGGATTACAGGCGTGAGCCACTGTGCCTGGCCTTTTTAAAAATTTTTTTTAAACTTTTTTAAAACATTGTACAGACTGGGTCTCACTATATTGCCTGTGCTAGGATTTATAATTTTTAAATTTGAACTGATGGATCAGGACGTATGGGAAGATAAGAATTAAATTTACAATCCAAACTTTGGTATTATAAATTCTAATTTATGCATTGCTAATATTTTTGTGAACATAGTTGTTAAAAATTTTAAAGTTTTTAGGGCTCACCGTATTAGCCAGGATGGTTTTGATTTCCTCACCTCATGATCCACCCCCCTCAGCCTCCCAAAGTGCTGGGATTACAGGCATGAGCCAGCGCACCTGGTCGGTATTATTACCTTTATTTTTTGAGATGGAGTCTAACTCTGTTGCCCAGGCTAGAGTGCAGTTGCATGATCTCTGCTCACCACAACCTCCACCTCCTGGGTTCAAGCGATTCTTCTGCCTCAGCCTTCCGAGTAGCTGGGACTACAGGTGTGCACCACCACACCTGGCTAATTTTTGTATTTTTAGTAGAAAACCACTGGGTTTTGACATGTTGGCCAGGCTGGTCTTGAAATCCTGACCTCGTGATCCACCCACCTCAGCCCCCCAAAGTGCTGGGATTACAGGCGTGAGCCACTGTGCCCAGCCAGTATTACCACTTTTTAAAAAGCTTTTAGCTGGGCACGGTGGCTCACACCTGTAATCCCAGCACTCTGGGAGGCTGAGGCGGGCGGATCACCTGAGGTCAGGAGTTTGAGACCAGCCTGACAAACATGGAGAAACCCTGTCTTTTAAAAAAAAAAAAAACTTTTAGCTGGGCACGTGCGTGCCTATAATTCCAGCTGCTTGGGAGGCTGAGGCAGGAGAATCACTTGAACCCGAGAGGCAAAAATTGTGGTAAGCCAAGATCATGCCATTGTACTTCAGCCTGGGCAGTAAGAGCAAAACTCTGATTGAAAAAAAAAAATCTTTTAGCCATTCTGACAGATGTGTAGTATGTCATGTGTGTTGTGTGTATGTTGATCCTTCTCTCACTTATCTATGAGAAGAGAATTTAAGTACAGATAATGGCTAATGGCTTTTATTAGAAGTCTCAAAATATATAAGGACTTCAGGCCTTCTTCTGACAGATCATTTCTGCAGGGTCTGTTTTTGGTTTTGTTTTTTTTTCTTTTCAGACAGGTTCTCACTCTGTCGCCCAGGCTAGAGTGCAGTGGTGAGATCTTGGCTCACTACAGCCTCAACTTCCCAAGCTCAGGTGATCCTCCCACTTCAGCCTCCCAAGTAGCTGGAATTATAGGCACGCTCCACCATACCTGGCTAATTTTTTGTATTATTTTGCAGAGTCGGTGTTTGCCATGTTGCCCAAGATGGTCAACATGGGCTCAAGTGATCCTCGAACCTTGGCCTCTCAAAGTGCTAGAATTATAGGTGCGAGCCACCTCGCCCTGCCATTTCTGGGCGAATTGATAAGCTAATTGGCCATAGCTGACCTAGAGTCAGACACCTCTATATGAGAGCCTCATGATGGCTTCCAAGACTGCAAATCTAAACCCTTCCTTTTTGAGCCGTTCTTAGTGCTGTATTAATCCTTTTTGTTTCTCCCTGAAGGGCCATGCCTTACCTGTTAATTCTAAAATTCAAAGAGATAAGAAAAATAATATATCAGAGAATATATTTTACTTTCTCTTTCTTTGCTTTTTTTTGAGATGGGGTCTTGCTGTGTTGCATAGGCTAGTCTCAAACTCATGGGCTCAAGAAGTCCTCCAGCCTTAACTGCCTGAGTAGCTAGGACTACAGGCACCCACCACTGCACCCAACCTAGAATATATTTTAGTTTATTTTCTACTTAAAAGCAAGGAAAACTTCTTTGTTTTATTATGTATTCATCATCTCCAATTGATGTCTTTTGGCTTATAGTTCTAACTGTACCTGCTGGTCAGGTTGCAGAGGAGACTGTAATTGAAGAGGAAGTAGAAGAGAAGTTGCCACTAACAAAGAAACCAAGGATAGAAGAAATGACAAACAGTGTGGAGGAAAGCAAGGTAATGTTTTTAGGAGTGATGAAAAGAATTAAAAGCCATAATTCTTAAGGCCTGAACCCTTCTTCATCTTTTTTTTTTTCCTTTTGAGACAGAGTCTCACTCTGTTGCCCAGGCTGGAGTACAGAGGCACGATCTCAGCTCACTGTAACCTCTGCCTCCCAGGCTCAAGCGATTCTCCTACCTCAGCCTCCTGAGTAGCTGGGATTACAGGCAGCTGCCACCATGGCTGGCTAATTTTTGTATTTTTATTAGAGACAAGGTTTCACCATGTGGGCCAAACTGGTCTCAAACTCCTGACCTCAGGTAATCCACCCGCCTCCACTTCCCAAAGTGCTCTCATCTGGACCATCTTTCTGTCTACTGTCTGCATAATTTATGATCAGGAATTTACCTGGTGGTGGCATGGCTTACTTTGACAGGAAGGCAATGAAAGAGAGCTACTACAGCAACAACTCCAGGAGGCCAATCAAAGAGCCCAGGAATACCGACATCAGCTCCTACAGAAAGAGCAAGAAGCAGAACAGTACCGTCTCAAGCTGGAGGCCATAGCCCGACAGCAGCGCAATGGAGTTGATTTCACCATGGTTGAAGAGGTGTCTGAGGTAGATGCTGCAGTCATCACAGAGGGGGAGTTGGAAGAGAAAGAGACAAAAGTGACTGGGTCAGCAGGGACCAAAGAGCCTCACACTGGAGTTTCCATGGAAACTATTTCATCTTAATATGCAAGGGCCACAATTTGCACTGTGTTCATAATATTCCTCTTTTAAAAAAAGAAAACATATAGAAGACAAACATTGTACAAAAAAATTAAGTGTCTTTGAGAAGAAAACTGTAGCAGGATACAATGCTTGGGCTCAGGAAGGTTCTCTGTGCAACTGGAAAATTCAAAGCCATATTTAGGGACCATTTCTTCCAAGGGGCCAAAAGAATAAGGACCAAATGTCTTAGATCACATCATTGCTTTAAGCATAGAGGTAAAAGAATACTGGCTGGGCACTGTGGCTCACGCCTGTAATCCCAGCAATTTGGGAGGCTGAGGTGGGCGAATCACGAGGTCAGATCTCACTGCAACCTCTGCTTCCCAGGTTCAAAACATTCTCCTGCCTCAGCCTCCCGAGTAGCTGAGATTACAGGCATATGCCACGAAGCCCAGCTAATTTTGTAATTTTAGTAGAAACGAGGTTTTTCCATGTAGTTAGTCTGGTCTCGAACTCCTGACCTCAGGCCTCCCAAAGTGCTGGAATTACAGGCGTGAGCCACCGTGACCCGCCTAGACTCTAATTTTATAAAACTTTATTGAATTTTCTAAGTGTCATTTAGGACATATTATGCTTTTCTGTGGCACTTACATCTTACCCTCTTTTGTGCAAATAAAAGGTGGGCTGGAGGTAAATCCTGATGATGTTGTTTAGTTTTATTTCCATTTGATCTGGCATGAGGAAATTGCTCTGTTTCCGTAAGCTGGGGTCTAGTACAGAGCTTTGTGCCTTATAGGGTGCTCAGTGTGTGTTGACAAAGGGAATAAGAACTATTAGTGCCATAAAAAAAAGAACCAAAGATTCTGGCTACTTCGTTTTCCTCCTTTCTCTCCCACTATGCCTATACTTCCTCTGCCCAGATGCTTTTGGAAAGTGTTTAACTGCTGGGTTTTCTTTGTATGTCAGCATGGAGGCATGGAGGCACGGAGTTTTTCCCAAGAAAGGGAATATGGATGGAGAGAGAAAGGTTATGGACAGGTTCCATTTCAGAGGTTATTGCCTTTGAAATTGGGCCGTCATCATTCTAGACTTGCTTGCTTTGTTATAAATTAGAAGAAACCAGTGGGAGATGTGCCAAGTAAACATTTGCATGACTGTTTAGAATATGGTTTTCTTAATTAGCAATCACGGGGAAAACATGCGCTTTTAATTTGGAAAAAATACTGACAGTTAACATGGTTCTGTTATCTTGATTAGTGAAATAATTAACTGCAGTGTTCCAGAGGAGCAGAATCATTTGGGTTTCAAAATAGGCTGAAAACTTAACTCCCCAAACCAAATTTAACAAATAGAATTGGGTTATTAGAGGTATATAGGTGAAAATATCAGTTTGGAAATTAACCTTGGCTACTGGCCACCTTAGCTAGGTTTTCTCCATGGATCTGAGTACTGAACACTTCCCAGATGATCGGAGAATATTCTGGGCTGTTGAGGATGACAGAGAAATGTAAAGGGGAGTAGCCTAGGTAAGGGTGATGAAGAAATTGTTCTGTCTGCTGTCAAATAATCTTTTCCTCTTTGCACTGTTTTTATTTTTTCTGAGTCCCTTTGGGAACCAGGTGCTAACAAGAAGCTGTCAGGTGCAGGATTTCAGAGCCTTACTTTAACGATAAAGGAACCAGGTATCATTTTAGGTGTCTTTTATTTATGTTTTTGGTGTATATGTTGACTTTAATCCCTTTTCCCTCCACCCTGCCCATTAAGAGGGAGGAGGTTAATTCTGCAGATGATATTCAGGCCAAACCAGAGACTCAGTATACAGTCACCACTTTTTGGGAGGAATTTTTTTTTTTCTGAGACAGAGTTTCGTTCTTGTTGCCCAGGCTGTAGTGCAATGGCATGATCTCAGCTCACCACAACCTCCGCCTCCCGGGTTCAAATGATTCTCTTGCCTCAGCCTCCCGAGTAGCTGGGATTATGGGTATGCACCTGGTTCCCACATCCAGCTAATTTTGTATTTTTAGTAGAGACAGGGTTACTCCATATTGGTCAGGCTGGTCTCAAACTCCCAACCTCAGGTGATCTGCCTGCCTTGGCCTCCCAAAGTGCTGAGATTACAGGTGTGCATTTTGCAGTGAGCCGAGAACACACCACTGCACTCCAGCCTGGGTGACAGAGCAAGACTCTGTTTCAAAAAAAAAAATCCTGGAAAAGAAAACACTTGTTTATGTGGGAGAAGTATATATAAAACGAAAATCCAGGCTGTTTCCACAGTGCTGGGAAGTGGCCACAAAGAGGCTTGTGGGGGCTGTGAAATTCTGGTCTTGAGATACAAACTTGGTTCTGACTGGGGGAATTCTTTAGCAGATCTTATTGTTCTTTCTGCAGAAAATATCATTCCTACCTCCCCAACCCCCAAAATCTCTAATACAGGCCAAGTCATTTTTGTTGATGGGTCTCTGAGATAGGGGAGTTTGTTGGAGGAGAGGCTGGAGTAGGAAGGGAGATAATGGAGGTATCTGAAAAACACTAAGAAAAAGGCATTCGTTTGTAGGAAGGGAGATAATGGAGGTATCTGAAAAACACTAAGAAAAAGGCATTCGTTTGTAGGAAGGGAGATAATGGAGGTATCTGAAAAACACTAAGAAAAAGGCATTCGTTTGTATTTACTTGGAACTGACCTTTGGCATCCCAGATAAGAGAAATAAGATTTGATCTCCAATTGTATTGCCATGGAGAGAATGGCAAGTGAGGATGCTTTGAAGTAGTTAGAAATTAAATATTGAATACATTAATGGCAATACCATTTCATGATCTTGCATATCTTTCTGGATTAGTCATGGAAGTTGGGGAAATATTGCTTAGATCTTCTGGGTTAGAGGATTCCAACTGGTTTACTGGCAAGGTTGGATTATTGAGAATCAGATAACACAAAAATGGCTGGGCATGGTGGCTCACGCCTATAATCCCAGCACTTTGGGAGGCTGAGGCGTTTAGATCACTTGAGGTCAGGAGTTCGAGACCAGCCTGACCAACCTGGCAAAACCCTGTCTCTATCAAAAATACAAAAATTAGGCGTCATGGTGCACGCCTCTAGTCCCAGCTGTTCTGGAGACTGGCGCAAGAGAATTGCTTAAACCCAGAAGGTAGAGTCTGCAGTGAGCTGAGATGGTGCCACTGCACTCCAGCCTGAGCAACAGAGCGAGACTCTGTCTCAAAAAAAGAAAAAAAAAGCCGGGCTTGGTGGCTCACACTTATAATCCCAGAACTTTGGGAGGCTGAGGTGGGCAGATCACCTGAGGTCAAGAGTTCAAAACCAGCCTGGCCAACATGGAGAAACTAAAAATACAAAAAATTAGCCAGGCATGGTGGCACATGCCTGTAATCCCAGCTACTCGGGAGGCTGAGGCAGGAGAACTGCTTGAACCCGGGAGGTGGAGGTTGCAGTGAGCCAAGTTTACACCATTGCACTCCAGCCTGAGCAACAAGAGTGAAACTCCATCTCAACGACAACAACAAAAAAGACGTATGGATAAGAGTTGGTGCTTGAGCAGGAGAAACTTAGAGCTTAGGATGGTTGTCTACTTCAAAATAAAGCTGCTTGAGGAGCTGAGCATGGTGTCTCATGCCTGTACTCCCAGCACCTTAGGAGGCTGAGGCAGGAGGATCACTGAGGCCAGGAGTTGGAGAACAGCCTGACCAACAGAGCAAGACTTTGTCACTACAAAAAATAAAAAAAAATTAGCCAGATGTGATTGCATGCACCTGTACTCCCAGCTACTCAGAAGGCTGAGGTGGGAAGATTGCTTGAGCCTGGGAGGTTGAGACTAGTGAGCCGTGATTGTCCCACTGCACTCCAGCCTAGCAACAGAACAATAAACACCTGTCTCAAAATAAAATAAAATAAAGCTGCTGGGCCAGGTGTGGTGGTTCACGCCTGTAATCCCAGCACTTTGAGAGGCTGAGGTGGGTGGATCACGAGGTCAGGAGATTGAGACCATCCTGGCCAACATGGTGAAACCCAGTCTCTCCTAAAAATACAAAAAATAAGCCAGGTATGGTGGCACATGCCTATAATCCCAGCTCCTCGGGAGACTGAGGCAGGAGACTCATTTGAACCTGGGAGGCAGAGGTTGCAGTGAGCCGAGATCGCGTCACTGCATTCCAGCCTGGGTGACAAGGTGAAACTCCATCTCAAAAAACAAAAAAAGCTGCTTTAGCAATATCAGTATTAATGGCAGGAATTTTAGATGCTACATTTTTTAGCCTTCAGCCTTTCTCCCCAGAATAGAAAGAAATACATTTTAATACTTCTATCCTTGTTCCTAGCTTCAGGGAAATTAATTATAAATGTATAAGTGTGCCTTCCTTTCCCATTACTACCTCTATAGGATCTTCTAATGCTAATGCTAAAGTTGAGGTCTCTTAATTGAAATATGGGAGAATTTGGCTTTACATTTTGTATGTGTGTGTGTTTTTTTAAGACATGGGGTCTCAATGTGTTATCCCGACTGAACTTAAACTCTTCCTGGGCTCAAGTGATCCCCTTTTCTCAGCTTCTTGACTAGCTGGGACTATAGGCACTTGCCACCATACCCAGCTGGCTTTAGATTTTTTTTTGTTTGTTTTTGAAAGGGAGTCTTGCTCTGTCACTCAGGCTGGAGTGCAGTGGTGCGATTTCAGCTCACTGCAACCTCTGCCTCCCGGGTTCAAGCAATTCTCCCACCTCAGCCTCCCAAGTAGCTGGGACTACAGGTGCACGCCACCATATACAGCTAATTTTTTTGTATTTTTAGTAGAGATGGGGTTTCACCATGTTGGCCAGGATGGTCTCGATCTCCTGACCTTGTGATCTGCCCACCTCAGCCTCTCAAAGTGCTGGGATTACAGGCATGAGCCTTTGTGCCTGGCCCTAGTTATTTTTTATTTTGCCTTTACCCCTTGTTCAGCCTTACCCTTGCATTATTAAAAATTTTGTGTCTGCTCAGTTAGAAACCAAATTGACTTTTTTTTTTTTTTGAGACAGAGTCTTGCTCTGTTGCCCAGGCTGGAGTGCAGTGGCATGATCTCAGCTCACGGCAACCTCCATCTCCCAGTTCAAGCGATTCCCCTGCCTTAGCCTCCTGAGTAGCTGGGACTACAGAAACCGGCCACCACGCCCGGCTAATTTTTGTATTTTTAGTAGAGACAGCGTTTGACCATATTGGCCAGGCTGGTCTCAAACTCCTGACCTTGTGAGCTGCCCACCTTAGCTGGGCACAGTGGCTCACACCTGTAATCCCAGCACTTTGGGAGGCTGAGGCAGGAGGATCACTTGAGGCCAGGAGTTTGAGACCAGCCTCACCAACATGGTGAAACCCAGTCTCTACTAAAAATAAAAAAAATTAGCCAGGGGTGGTGGCACATGCCTGTAGTCCCAGCTACTCAGGAGGCTGAGGCAGGAGAATCACTTGAACCCAGGAGGTGGAGGTTACAGTGAGCCGAGATTGCACCACTGTACTTCATCCTGGGCAATAGCACAAGACTCTGTCTCAAAAATAAGTAAATAAAATAAATGAATTGACCAGGGAATTTGCATAGTATAGGTGATAATGCCATGCATGCTGAAAGATTCAAGGCAGGACATGATGGCTCACATCTGTAATCCTAGCACTGGGGAGACAAAGGTGGGAGGATCACTTAAGCCCAGGAGAGT